ACCATATTGCAAATGGAAGAACAAAAGGTGAGTTATAAATATATAAGTGTGTTTTGGGCGTTCGTAAAAACAACGAAAAGGCGTTAGAATATGAAATGCAGACATTGATGAGCTAGCAGCAAGTGCATTAGCTTATATGCTATGGCTCCCCCCATCTAATTCAGTAAATAATGGTTTAGTTCGTTGACACGCAAGTTTGTGCTTGTTGGAACAGTGGCGACTAACCAAGAGCAACAGCCTGGTGGTTTTCATGTTTCTGTAGAGAAGATTTCATTAAGTGTGTTTAACAAGGCAGCTAGCTGACAATCAGAAGGCTATTAACCATCAAAATGATCAACATCTCAAACATCATCTCGTCTAGAATGGAGTAAGACAGTTGTGGTTGTGGCCCACAACCACAACTGTCTTACTCCATTCTAGACTTGTTTCATAAAATGCGTATTTTTTTACAATATATATATATATATATATATATATATATATATATGCCTATATATACGCATTTTATGAAACAAGTTAGTGAGGTTAACAGTAAGAATGTTTAACACTTTCTGGCTTTAAATTAAAGGTAGGATTTGTGTTCCTGCATATAAAGTGTTCCTGATAAATAAGATCCGTACTCCGTAATGGACACTTTTACTGAGCATATACTGTGTAAAATAGGAAGAAGAGTCTTAACCTTACAATATTTAAACAATATATTTTCTTTTCTTTTTTGCAGATTAAAAGCAACGTTATTGTCTGATGTACAATTCAACTGGCATATTACAACCCCTCCTACGAATACCAAATTGTCCTCTTTATATTCTGCATTACATCAGTTTGCTGCGCTGCTCACAACAATGCCTGCAGAGCCAGATTTGGATGACTTAATTAAACTATACTTCAGACTTTCCCTAAGTAACAAAGAAATACTTGCTATTTTGGCACACACTAATCACATTGTAATTAGTGTCCGAACATTAAAGAGAATTTGTAAAAGACTTAACCTGTTCAGGAGGAAGAACCAGTCTGACTTGGAGGAAGTGCTAGCTTTTGTACAGCATGAGATCATGACTAATGGACAGATGCAGGGATACCGTTGGCTTCATCTCCGTGCAATTCAACAGGGCCTTGTTGTGTCACAAGATAGCATAAGACGCATCATCAAACTGGTTGATCCACAAGGTGTGGAATTAAGACGAGCCCACCGCTTGAGAAGACGTCAGTACAGATGCAGAGGGCCAAATGCACTTTGGCACATGGATGGTTATGATAAACTAAAGCCCTATGGCATTGCCATCAACGGCTGTATAGATGGTTTTAGCCGCTATGTGTTATGGATGGAAGCCTATATCACAAACAGTGATCCTAAAGTAGTTGCAAGTTACTTTATCAAAACAGTTTCAGGTATAGGTGGATGTCCAGAGAGGATTCGTGCAGACAGGGGCACGGAAAATGTTTCTGTTGAAGAAATGCAGATGTTTTTGCGAAGGAACCACCCAGACAGTTTTGCTGGGGAGAGAAGTTTCCTTTATGGAAGAAGCACAGCAAACCAGCGCATTGAAGGATGGTGGGGTATACTCCGCAAACAGAGTGCGCAGTTCTGGATGAACCTGTTCCAAACTCTCCAGGAAGATGGCCACTTCACAGGAGACTTTTTGGACAAAAGTCTTATCCAATTCTGTTACCTTAATCTTGTTCAGGTAAAATATTTTATTTATTTCTGAGATTAGTCATTAATAAAAGTAGTATGAGTAATAATAATATTATTGTTCACTATGTTCGTGGACATTGCAGCAACCTCAGCCTCCATCTAGACAGGTAGAAGTTATGTCCGAAAGCTTCTTAAGACATGTCGTCTACATTTACTGTGCTTTTTTTCTATGCAGGATGAACTTGATGAAGTGGTCAACACCTGGAATTCCCACAAAATCAGACCAAGATCAACTGATGACACAGCATCTGGTCGGCCAGTGATTATGTACTCATTCCCAGAGTTGCACAGTGCTGAGGATAGACTCAAACCTATTGCCATGGAGGAGGTCAATTTGTGTATGTTAGAGTGTACTCCCAAAGGCCAGTTTCCGTGCGATGAAACTGTTTTTGAACTGTGTTGTCTACTCATGGCGGAAAACGGATGGGATGATCCAGCAGATCCATTTGCTGCAGCTGATCTATACATCCTGTTACGAGATGAAATACGACGACAAGTATTTGATTAATGGTACATGTAGCGTACATGTCATTATGCAAAACACAAAATACTGTTCAGGACAAAACTGACCTTAAAAAATAAGTAATTATTTAGTCAAAAATGTATCAATAAAAATCATAGTCAATGGTATTTCATGTATTCCTTAAATGTTTGTCTCTCAACACTATTTTCATTTTTCTTTACAGCTTTTCAACAGTTTTTTTTTTTAATGGTAGCCTACTGTATGTATGGGCCAAATCTTTGTTACATGTTTCTACATTGTATACACAAATAATGTACCATGTGTTACACAATGGTAACAACTGATTGCTAATTTTCACTCAGTTGCCAGATTATTTCATGTGCGCTCTAAAAACAGTAAGGGACCAGTCATTAATATTGCCATGTAGTTTGCTGCAACTGAGAAGGCCTTGCTTACACTGGACAAACTTCCTCCTTTAAGAAAGGATAACAACGCCATTCACTGACATAACAAACCTGCTAGTGCCATTTATTGGTGAATACAAACATCACTTTAGAATGACTTATTGATTGCCACATGCATACAATAATGAACATGTTAATTTTTCAGTATAACTCCATTGTTTTTACTAAAAATGTCTGATCACATTCTTGCAAAAGTGTAAGCACAAATTGAATGATTTAAGCAATAGATACATCGTTCACACCTTTTTGCATAACACATTCATTAAATGGATCAGATTGTCTTTATGCAGTAACACATTTTATTTATTTCAATTACTTATTTCAAATTTCAAAATGTGGTTACATTTATGTATTCTCGGAACTCAATGAAACAATTTAGCCGTAATAACTTGAGGTGAACAGACTTTGGGAAGCTTGGTTGTGAGTTCATACTAATAGGAGCACATTTGATCCAATGCTGATACAATGAGTATGTCAGTGCAGTATTCATCATATGTTCTCAGTATTGATATACATCAGTCTTTTACCTGTATCACCATAACATTACAACCTAGTGTTGGCAAAAATAAACAATTAACTTTATTAAGACAATAAAGGATACCATTTCTAGACAATTAAATACACATTTGTAAAAAAGGCATCAAGAACTCAAAGCATAGATAAACAGAATGGTAGTGTTCTTAATGAATTTTCAATTATTTTATCATTGTTTTTAATGCCACATGACTAATTAAATTCTCACATTAGTGTCAAATATGAATTACTATAAGATATTTTAGAGAAGTCTTGGAACAACTATTGTAAAGCTTATTTATTCAATCACTTTATACCCATAAGAATAGGAAACTTTATCAACATTCAATTGAAGGCCTGCATACAAATGTGGTGTAAGAAAATACATTTGATTCACAATGTAACCTTAACTTACATTTCAATGTTAAAAGTAACATTTAACAAAACATGAGAATTCCGCACAAGGATGACCGGAAAATTACAGCCCTTTTGCTTTGCTTTTTTTTTTAAATTATTGGTTGATCCACAAGATGTGAAATATAGAAACGGAACAAATATCTGCCTGTAATGTGCCAGTGCAATAACAATTATTAAAGTATCCAAAAATAAAAGATAGGTTTTGTTGCACACAACAATGCCTGCAAAACAGATGTTGAGACTTAATACAATTTACCTTCAGAATGTCTTTCAGTATCAAAGCAATACTTGCAATCTTAGTAAAAAGCAAACAATTGTAATCATAACTTCTCATAACTGAGATAACTGGTAGAAGACTAGTTCAGTCTGTTTATATGCACATCTGAGAGGTGTGTGTGTGTGTGTGTGTGTGTGTGTGTGTGTGTGTGTGTGTGTGTGTGTGTGTGTGTGTGTGTATAGGGAAAGTGTGTATGTGTATCTACTTGTTTAGAAGAACCAACCAGTCCACCACTTGAAACTTTAACAAGACATTTGGAATCAAGGCAATGTGACACCTGAGGAAACATTTGATCATACAACATTTTAAGCATTATTTTAAGATTATGTCTTAATTACTTTTTACACTAGTATAAAATATGTTCTAAATAAACAAGATGTGAAATATAGAAACGGAACAAATATCTTAAAAATAATGCTTAAAATGTTGTATGATCAAATGTTTCCTCAGGTGTCACATTGCCTTGATTCCAAATGTCTTGTTAAAGTTTCAAGTGGTGGACTGGTTGGTTCTTCTAAACAAGTAGATACACACACACACACACACACACACACACACACACACACACACACACACACACACACACACACACACACACACACACACACACACACACACACACACACACACACACACACACACACACACCTCTCAGATGTACATATAAACAGACTGAACTAGTCTTCTACCAGTTATCTTAGTTATGAGAAGTTATGATTACAATTGTTTGCTTTTTACTAAGATTGCAAGTATTGCTTTGATACTGAAAGACATTCTGAAGGTAAATTGTATTAAGTCTCAACATCTGTTTTGCAGGCATTGTTGTGTGCAACAAAACCTATCTTTTATTTTTGGATACTTTAATAATTGTTATTGCACTGGCACATGTCTTAATTACTTTTTACACTAGTATAAAATATGTTCTAAATAAACAAGTATGCTTTGAACAAGGCACTTGCTTTGCAACTTTATATTCCAGTCAATGGTCAGATAAGGGGTTAGTTACACATTCATGCTTTTACACAAGTTATTCACCTGGGTAAGTGGCATATCATTTTACAATTTACACAAAAAGTAAGAGGGAGCAAACAGTACATTGTATTTTACAACTGTCTGTTTCCATATAAGAACAATGAAGCATGCCACTGTTCTTGTTTGAATCTTTAAACATCTTAGCAGTATTAAAAGGTCTTGAATTACATGAACAAATTACATTTCTGTCAAGTCAGGTTTGTGTTCTGCAACTGGAGAATAATAGTCAATATGCAAGTTTGTTGTAGTTTGTGAACACACCACCAAGTTTGTGTAGTGAAAGATGGGCTCCCTTCTGGCCAGCTGGACTTCTCTATAACTATTAAAGGTCCTGGTGAAGTGCTTCCCAAATATACAGTATAGCACACCATTACTTGCAATTCTGCACAACTACTTCGAACATGAAAAACTCTTAACAGTTTGGATTGGTTTGGTTATTGTTGTTGGAGTCTAAACAATGTCCATAACCCACACATTGCTCTCAAGAACTGCATTGAATTCTGAACGGAAATCTGGGAAGTTCTCATAGCTGTCAGCTATGTGCAGAATATTCCCACATGTGTGTGCAATCGGTCTTCTTGTGAACTCTGTCATTTTCTCAAATCCCACGTAGATGCTGTCTGTCACAATGAGATCAGATCCTGTGCAGAACCGTAGAAACTTCTGAAGTTTACTCTCATCTAGCTCTCTGATGAATCTTTTCAGATGATTTGCTACCTCTTTTTGGTTTGTAGTCAAATCAACATCAAATTTCAGTAGTTTGCAGACTTTTTTTGTGGTGGGTTGCAGGTCAGACAACAACTTAGTCAGTGCCTCTGGACTGAGGTTGAGATGTTGATGGTTAATCTCCCTCCAGCAGTCAATAACGAACATTGGTTTTTGGACCATCTCTTTGTGGGCAATTTCTTCAATTATTTTAGGAAGATTCTCTGCGCTGACTTTCCTTCTACAGCCATAGCTGTCGAGAATCTCCAAAAGGTCATCAGTGTCAACTGCAGTGAAATCAGTCAGCGCTTGCATCAAAACTTCACGTTCTTGGCTGCTCACAAATTGCATAAAATATGCTTTGAGGTCACTGTACACATTATCAAACAGCACCTGTTCAAGGAAAGGCAGTGAAAGTTTGTTTGGGAAATATTCACAATCTTGGTAACCTTTCAAAAGGATTCTTCCAATTGCCTTCCATGTTTCAGCAGGAGAATCATGGCGAATGTAGGGCACTTTAACTGTTGTCCCAAGTGTGCATCTCTCATAGAATTCTTGCCAGAAGCAGCTGAGAACATCCCTCAGTACCCCAGAACCACTGCCTGCTTCTTCCTTGTTATCTGGGAGAATGCGCCTCACATTCAATGATTTGTTTAAAATCTCTGCATCAGAAAAGGCAGTAATCATGTCAGCTAGGGTGTTTGCATGATGTACAGTGATTGTTAGTTGTTTCTCTGCCTCAAGTGGACTGGCGGGGACAGGAACATTCTCAAATATGAGTGTGTCTTCTTCATCTTCCTCGATGCCGAAATGAGGACCAAAGGTGATTTCAGGATCACTAGAAATGTTTAGTGATCGCTGTATGTCGTCCAAAACAATAATGACATCTGTGTAGTCGTCATTTTCACCCGAGACAAGATTAAACTCAGAAGTCTCTTCAACTGTGTCGCTGTCAGCGTTTGCAGAAGGTTTTCGCTTTGTGGCAATGTAAAATCGCAACATTGTCATTTGCACAGTTTCGTACATTGTGCTAATTGAAGGGCATGTTTCAGCTGTAAGGCAGTTTTGTTTAAAATCCCACACCTCAAAGTCGAACTCTGATTCAGGTCCTTTAGGTGATATTCCATCAGGAAAAAATAGTGTCTTTCCTGTTTCAAGGATTTCATTCAAACCAGCATTAGTTGATAGTTTAATTTTTCTAGTGCCACCTCCTTGTTTTGCCCTTACTTGTTTGGTTGTGTTAGTGTCATTGTGAATCCAGCCTATTTCAATATTTCTTGTGGCTTTCAGCTTCTTTGTCTGTGTTTTTCTTGTTTCTGTACCTGATGCGTTTCCTTGAGAACTTTCCGATCTCACTGTCATTTTTTCCCTCAGTCTTTCATAAAGGCCTTTTTTTCGCTTTGATGTGGGCCTTTTACTTCTACAATGATTAAAGATGGCTATTCGGTCTCCGTAGGAGGGGATGTATTTTTGAAGAGTGGCATCATCCATAAGACCAATGACGTCGCTGTCAATCTGCAAAGAAGAAAGAAAAGAAAACACAATGAAGTTTGTGCACATTGTATAACTATTGTCAACCCTTGTACATCGTTATATATAGATATATACTATTTTGCCATTTCGCAGACCAAATCAGTCCTGTTCATAATACAAAACATTCATTAATTTTCAGAATATTAACCCTTAAAAAGCCAGTTTTTGCCATGATGGTACTGTTGTCACTTTATTAGAAAAAAACAGAAACTACTAGTTTCCCTGGTTACCCTAAAGTTTATAACCTTCACATAAGTATAACCCTTAAAAGTGTTTTTAAAGTGGATTATTACAGCCGGAGACTCGCAACGGCGGTGGACTTTCACAGCACCGCTGCACCTGACCTGCCGGAGCCACCAGAGCCTCGCAACGGCGGGTGTTTGCGGCGGCGGATGCGGTACCGGCGCTGTGAAAGTCCACGGCCCACCTATGCCAGAGCCAGCGGCCCACCAACGGCAGCTTTCAGTAACGTTAACGTTAGAGACTGACATGATACGCAGCGATACTAGATACAATTACCAACACTGTCCTGCTGTTTTAATCTCCTTCAGACAGTACAGCAGGATTCATATTCATATGCTGATAATTCTGTGATTGTGGGATACAAGGACAATGGCCCAAACCCCTGTGGTAACAATGCTACAGTACCGAGAGGGGTTTTACTGGGCGAATTTTGGGAATATAATTAGCAACTGCCTCCTTGCGTTGTACTTTGACCACTGATCTCTAAACTGTTACAGGCAAAAATAATTTGAAGTAATGATGGCAAACAAAAAGAAGTTTGGGCGATATGTATTTCCCATGGTTTTTCCCCGCCAGGCTGGTGAGCGGTAGCTGTCAGGCTCTCAGCTAGCTGCTAGCTGCCTTGTTAAACACACTTAATGAAATCTTCTCTACAGAAACATGAAAACCACCAGGCTGTTGCTCTTGGTTAGTCGCCACTGTTCCAACAAGCACAAACTTGCGTGTCAACGAACTAAACCATTATTTACTGAATTAGATGGGGGGAGCCATAGCATATAAGCTAATGCACTTGCTGCTAGCTCATCAATGTCTGCATTTCATATTCTAACGCCTTTTCGTTGTTTTTACGAACGCCCAAAACACACTTATATATTTATAACTCACCTTTTGTTCTTCCATTTGCAATATGGTTTCCTCTTGGACCCCTCTGGCGCGCAGAAATTCACTCACGTCCTCCATTGTTGCCTACTGCAATGTGTAAATCGCAGTGAAGCTGGTTCGACAGTTACCGGTATTTCTGACTTTTTTCTCCCAAATAATTTTTTTTTTTTTTGTTCTGAGAAAAAAGTCAGAATTCTGAGATTAAAGTCAGAATTCTGAGATTAAAGTCAGAATTCTGACTTTTTTCTCAGAACAAAAAATAATAATATTTTTTTCAAATCCTCACAAAAAAATTTTTTATGTGGCCCTAATCCTCTTCCGTACAATTCCAACCTTGGTCATGAAGAATATGTTTCTCTGTTGTCCACGTTCACAAAGCATAAAACAACACCATCAGAGCACGGTGCAGAGTCTCTAGATGCGTTTACAGTAGTCCCTCGTTCTTATTATACATCCATGTAGTCCGCTGGATACAAAACTGTAGTTTCCCCACAGCAGCAGACGTACATTTATGACGTCCGCTGGCGCATCATAAATACGTTGATAGTGAAAGTGCAGTCGGATTCTCAAAGCACCGCAGTCTCTTTTCCTAAATCCTTTTGAATCCTCCTATCCACTATCCCTTAACCCCGTGACGTTCCACACAGAGGTCGAGGAATAGTGGATAGGAATAGTGGATAGGAATAGTGGATAGGAGCAGATTTTTTGATAATTCGACTTCAACCCTAGTTTTTTACCAGGGTGATACAAGCCACAAGGAAAGCCACAAAAAAGGGCTGAAGGAAAGGAATCGATAGGAAAGCTGTTCATTGTACTTTTGTTAATGATATTGGACCATGAAAATAAATAAATGCACAAACGGAGATTCTTGTCTGAACTTGTATCAGTTCGTAAGATTCAATAACTGGTGCCTCAGCTGCAGTGTTATTTTAAGTTCATTATCTGTTTTATTTCTATATGTTTTTTTCCGCTTCAGACACATATAAACCTCAACATTCAGAAGTGTGGTATTTATTGGATATAAGTGTGTCTAACGTTAACATTTTTTAACATTTTGTTAATCACATTATTTCAGACGTCAAACCAAATACAAATTTGACTTTAAGACGAAGGAACAGGAAGTGTCATTTCAGGGTTTTAGGATTTGTTCCTGTGGTCGCTCGCTGCCATCAGTGTGTGAATAAGAAGTACAACATATAAGGCTGCTGTTATTTTGCAGCTTAAAGAATGAAGATATTGAAGTAACTGTTATTTTGTATATATTGATTGTTGTGTTTTATCTTAATGTGTGCATAGGTGTAAATGTGTTGATTGTATATATAGAGGATATACATATTTATACATATTTGTATTTTGTATTCGGGATTGTTGGAAACGTTATTTCGATCTCTCTGTCTGTACAAACACACAGAAACATTGACATTAAAGTTGATGTTGAAAGAGAAAGTTGATTGGTCTGTTGGTATTTACACAGATTCGATTCAATCACTATATTTCATTTCCCTTTTCAAGGGATACTCTACGCATCCTTTGTTTGTATCAGACCTAAACGCAGTTCTTGAGCAAAACCTTTAAATCTGTTAAACTGTTTTATCTGTTTATTTTAACAATGTGATCGCATGATTCCTTCAGGTATTACTGCAGATCTGCTGTAAGCTAGCTAGCTGACCTTGTCCTTTCAGATATAGTGAAAACACTTAACAATATGAAACAGACTCTGCCAGCAACAGAGACAACTTGCCAACTTTATAATGTTGACAAACTGTCATTATACTGTTCTATATCTTTATAATATCCACACTTTTTAGTGTCCGCGTTTCAGTTTTGTTTTAAGCTTCTTGCAGCGTTTCGTTAATGTAGGGCTTTTAGTAAACGCTGCGCATGTTTCCTCAAGTTAGTAAATATTTTCTAAATGCCGTGCATGTGTTGTCAAGTTGGTCAAGATGTTTCTTCATTTGCATGTGTTTTGGAACATTTGTGTTTTTATATTGCATTGTATTTGAAGCTTCAGCGCCTTTCTCCTAATGTAAGTGTTTTGGGCCGTTGTAGCAGGTTAGCCCTGTTAGCCACTCCATGTTAGCCATAAATGGGAGGCACAGATTTCATCAAGTGATACATATATTACCTATGATTTGATTGCATGTACGAGAGTTTGGATATATTTGGTGGATATGGGTTCAATACTCACATTTCTTCTGTATCTTGGCTTTCATTGTCTAGTAATTGATCCTGCAGAGATGAACACAATCCAACAGTTACAGATCAAGTTAAAAGAAGTGTTTGTTCTTTGAGTTAGTCAGCTTCACAGTCCTGAGTGATCCAATGCTTTACATCACATCATATCTTCTCTGCAAACACTACGACTGACTGTCCACAGCTCTCAGCTGCATCAGAGAATTAACTAGGCATTAGTCCAGGAACTAAAAAACATCAAAGGAAAAACAAACAGACTACCTTTGTAACTGTAACATCCAATGTGTCTGTTAATGAGTTGCAGCTGAGTGAAATGTGGCTTTGCATTGTCAGCTTGTATTATCTTGCTTGATAATAATGAAAGTAAAGAACCGCGAGATGAACAAAAGGAGGAACTGCAGATAAATGGTAACATCACTGATTTGTTGTGCTAAGCTAGGCTACGCCTGGAAGGTGGAACTGGAGAGATTCCCCAGTGAGAGGAACACATCCACCTCCCTGTGTTTAATACAATCCTGCTGAACCAGCAGAGAGTCGACCCTTACTGACCCGAGAGCCTCCAGTCTGCAGTCTGGACTCTCCTGAAGATCTCTCAGCAGCTTCACGACTGAATCCTGCAGCTTGCTGCCTCTCAGGTTCAGATCTCTCAGATGGGAAGGGTTGGACTTCAGAGCTGAGGCCAGAGCAGCCCAGCTGATCTCTGACAAACTGCAGCCTCTCAGTCTGAATAAAGAACACATGATGCAAGTTTAGAAAACAATGTTCCTTATTGAAATAATGAAAGTTCTAATAATCTGATTATAGCTGGAGAAGTAGAGAATGTAGAAGTTTATAAAGTGGACACTCCCGACAGGTTAAAAACAGTAAGTTCCAGAAAGAGAACATAGCTCTGATTAATATGAAAGACAACGTGCTTCACCTTCAATACAAAGTGGTGACTTCACATCTGAAGCTCTGCTCCTTCTACACTAACTCGTGATGTGCAGCCAGACAGATACAAACCCACAGAAACTGATTCAACCCAAGATCACAGAGTTCACAAAGATCACAAAGATGTCAGGAAGAATTTTAAAGAAATGTGATCAAAATAAATAGAGAATATTTATTTTAGGAATAGTGGAGACATAGATCACAGCATCTTCAGTTTAAACTATTCAGTCAGATTGAGCATCTTGTAGCTTAATGCAAATGTTAGAAACAGCAACAACTGAAAATATTTGTGTTTGATAGTTTTAATAGAAATATTTAATTATTGTATTCATGTGTTTATAATGTCATTTATACAAAAAAAACAGTCAGTATAAGCATCTTTTAGTTTCATAAAAATGTTGGAAGAAGCAAATACTGAATATAGTTTTATGTTTGATTGGAAATACTAATTTTACTAATTTGTCTTTTATATAATGTAGTAAAATAAAACTTGACGGAGGTTCAGCGTGAAATATGCAGAGTATAATTCTTATTGTAATATTTACATTTAAAGCTGAATATTACTCTGTCAATGAACTAAACCACAGAAGAAGAAAATAGACTTCAGCATTAAGATGCTCAGTGAGGATCAGGATCATATCAGCCTGATGTCTGCAGCTCAGAGTCAACACAACTCTCACATATTCATCTCAGCACAGAAGTAAAAGATGGAGAACTGACATGAGAGTCTCCAGTCTGCAGTCTGGACTCTCCAGAAGATCACTCAGCAGCTTCCCTCCTGAATCCTGTAGCTCGTTGTAACTCAGGTTCAGATCTCTCAGATGGGAAGGGTTGGACTTCAGAGCTGAGATCAGAGCAGCACAGCTGATCTCTGACAACCAGCAGCCTATCAGTCTGAATAAAGAACACATGATGCAAGTTTAGAAAACAATGTTCCTTATTGAAATAATGAAAGTTCTAATAATCTGATTATAGCTGGAGAAGTAGAGAATGTAGAAGTTTATAAAGTGGACACTCCCGACAGGTTAAAAACAGTAAGTTACAGAAAGAGAACATAGCTCTGATTAATATGAAAGACAACGTGCTTCACCTTCAATACAAAGTGGTGACTTCACATCTGAAGCTCTGCTCCTTCTACACTAACTCGTGATGTGCAGCCAGACAGATACAAACCCACAGAAACTGATTCAACTCAAGATCACAGAGTTCACAAAGATCACAAAGATGTCAGGAAGAATTTTAAAGAAATGTGATCAAAATAAATAGAGAATATTTATTTTAAGAATAGTGGAGACATAGATCACAGCATCTTCAGTTTAAACTATTCAGTCAGTTTGAGCATCTTGTAGCTTAATGCAAATGTTAGAAACAGCAACAACTGAAAATATTTGTTAGTGTTTGATAGTTTTAATAGAAATATTTAATTATTGTATTCATGTCTTTATAATGTCATTTCTAAAAAAAAACAGTCAGTATAAGCATCTTTTAGTTTCATAAAAATGTTGGAAGAAGCAAATACTGAATATATTTTTATGTTTGATTGGAAATACTAATTTTACTAATTTGTCTTTTATATAATGCAGTAAAATAAAACTTGACGGAGGTTCAGAGTGAAATATGCAGAGTATAATTCTTATTGTAATATTTACATTTAAAGCTGAATATTTCTCTGTCAATGAACTAAACCACAGAAGAAGAAAATAGACTTCAGCATTAAGATGCTCAGTGAGGATCAGGATCATATCAGCCTGATGTCTGCAGCTCAGAGTCAACACAACTCTCACATTAATCTCAGCACAGAAGTAAAAGATGGAGAACTGACTTGAGAGTCTCCAGTCTGCAGTCTGGACTCTCCAGAAGATCACTCAGCAGCTTCCCTCCTGAATCCTGCAGATCGTTGCCACTCAGGTCCAGATCTCTCAGATGGGAAGGGTTGGACTTCAGAGCTGAGATCAGAGCAGCACAGCTGATCTCTGACAAACTGCAGAACCACAGTCTGAATAAAGAACACATGATGCAAGTTTAGAAAACAATGTTCCTTATTGAAATAATTAAAGTTCTAATAATCTGATTATAGCTGGAGAAGTAGAGAATGTAGAAGTTTATAAAGTGGACACTCCCGACAGGTTAAAAACAGTAAGTTACAGAAAGAGAACATAGCTCTGATTAATATTAAAGACAACGTGCTTCACCTTCAATACAAAGTGGTGACTTCACATCTGAAGCTCTGCTCCTTCTACACTAACTCGTGATGTGCAGCCAGACAGATACAAACCCACAGAAACTGATTCAACTCAAGATCACAGAGTTCACAAAGATCACAAAGATGTCAGGAAGAATTTTAAAGAAATGTGATCAAAATAAATAGAGAATATTTATTTTAGGAATAGTGGAGACATAGATCACAGCATCTTCAGTTTAAACTATTCAGTCAGTTTGAGCATCTTGTAGCTTAATGCAAATGTTAGAAACAGCAACAACTGAAAATATTTGTGTTTGATAGTTTTAATAGAAATATTTAACTATTGTATTCATGTGTTTATAATGTCATTTATAAAAAAAAAACAGTCAGTATAAGCATCTTTTAGTTTCATAAAAATGTTGGAAGAAGCAAATACTGAATATAGTTTTATGTTTGATTGGAAATACTTATTAATTTGACTAATTTGTCTTTTATATAATGCAGTAAAATAAAACTTGACGGAGGTTCAGAGTGAAATATGCAGAGTATAATTCTTATTGTAATATTTACATTTAAAGCTGAATATTACTCTGTCAATGAACTAAACCACAGAAGAAGAAAATAGACTTCAGCATTAAGATGCTCAGTGAGGATCAGGATCATATCAGCCTGATGTCTGCAGCTCAGAGTCAACACAACTCTCACATTAATCTCAGCACAGAAGTAAAAGATGGAGAACTGACTCTAGAGTCTCCAGTCTGCAGTCTGGACTCTCCAGAAGATCACTCAGCAGCTTCACTCCTGAATCCTGCAGCTCGTTGTAACTCAGGTCCAGCTCTCTCAGATGGGAAGGGTTGGACTTCAGAGCTGAGATCAGAGCAGCACAGCTGATCTCTGACAAACTGCAGCTCCTCAGTCTGAATAAAGAACACATGATGCAAGTTTAGAAAACAATGTTCCTTATTGAAATAATGAAAGTTCTAATAATCTGATTATAGCTGGAGAAGTAGAGAATGTAGACGTTTATAAAGTGGACACTCCCGACAGGTTAAAAACAGTAAGTTACAGAAAGAGAACATAGCTCTGATTAATATGAAAGACAACGTGCTTCACCTTCAATACAAAGTGGTGACTTCACATCTGAAGCTCTGCTCCTTCTACACTAACTCGTGATGTGCAGCCAGACAGATACAAACCCACAGAAACTGATTCAACCCAAGATCACAGAGTTCACAAAGATCACAAAGATGTCAGGAAGAATTTTAAAGAAATGTGATCAAAATAAATAGAGAATATTTATTTTAGGAATAGTGGAGACAGAGATCACAGCATCTTCAGTTTAAACTATTCAGTCAGTTTGAGCATCTTGTAGCTTAATGCAAATGTTAGAAACAGCAACAACTGAAAATATTTGTTAGTGTTTGATAGTTTGAATAGAAATATTTAATTATTGTATTCATGTGTTTATAATGTCATTTATACAAAAAAAACAGTCAGTATAAGCATCTTTTAGTTTCATAAAAATGTTGGAAGAAGCAAATACTGAATATAGTTTTATGTTTGATTGGAAATACTTCTTAATTTTACTAATTTGTCTTTTATATAATGCAGTAAAATAAAACTTGACGGAGGTTCAGCGTGAAATATGCAGAGTATAATTCTTATTGTAATATTTACATTTAAAGCTGAATATTACTCTGTCAATGAACTAAACCACAGAAGAAGAAAATAGACTTCAGCATTAAGATGCTCAGTGAGGATCAGGATCATATCAGCCTGATGTCTGCAGCTCAGAGTCAACACAACTCTCACATATTAATCTCAGCACAGAAGTTAAAGATGGAGAACTGACCTGAGAGTCTCCAGTCTGCAGTCTGGACTCTCCAGAAGATCACTCAGCAGCTTCACTCCTGAATCCTGCAGATCGCTGTAACTCAGGTCCAGATCTCTCAGATGGGAAGGGTTGGACTTCAGAGCTGAGATCAGAGCAGCACAGCTGATCTCTGACAACCTGCAGCCTATCAGTCTGAATAAAGAACACATGATGCAAGTTTAGAAAACAATGTTCCTTATTGAAATAATTAAAGTTCTAATAATCTGATTATAGCTGGAGAAGTAGAGAATGGAGAAGTTTATAAAGTGGACACTCCCGACAGGTTAAAAACAGTAAGTTACAGAAAGAGAACATAGCTCTGATTAATATTAAAGACAACGTGCTTCACCTTCAATACAAAGTGGTGACTTCACATCTGAAGCTCTGCTCCTTCTACACTAACTCGTGATGTGCAGCCAGACAGATACAAACCCACAGAAACGGATTCAACTCAAGATCACAGAGTTCACAAAGATCAGAGTCTGAATAAATAACACACAATGTAAGTTCAGAGAACAATGGTCCTGCTTGAGGTAGTTCAAAGTTTCGTCATCTGTTCAGACCTGGAGAGGGTTCAGAGGTCGATGTCAAAACTGATGTAGATACTTTTATAGATGTAATATATAAAAGTATCTATGATAATGCATCAGAACAACCTCCTTCATCTCCCTCACAGCTCATCAGTGCTGACAGCATCTTCACTGAGTCATGGAGCACAGTGAGAGTCTGTGGAAGCTCAAACACTGTCCGTCACACATCTACTTTCTCTGCTTTCTGTTAGTCTTGTAAAATATTCAGCAATTTAGAAAGAAATGTGAACTTATTAAAATATCTTTGTACTCAGGCAAATTATGGAATTATAAATATATCAATTATAAATACTTTACAAAACCACATGAACTGCAGCCAGTGATCTGACCTCAGAGCCTTCAGTCTACAGTTTGGACTCTTCAGTCCAGAACTCAGCTGCTCCGCCGCCTCTGAATCCTGCAGACCGACTCTCATCTCCAGCTCTCTCAGATTGGAGGGGTCTGACTTCAGAGCTGAGGCCACGACTTCCCAGTCTAAGAATCCACTGTCAGGAATTCTGTTATAACACATATTACAGAATTTGTTTATATAAAAAAAGTGGAAACAATATATTGACTTCAAAACATGTTGAATATCATGATCTGATTACCAGTGGATGGTTGAGTGTGATCTGATCCCATGTCTGTCACCTCTTTGCTAGCTACCTTCTAGACTAGAGTCAACATAAATCAGATATTACTCTGTGTCTAATTTAACGATAAAGAAACTGCAATCATTTCATAATAACTTTACTCAATTTTATGACATATGTACAATTATTCTGTATGTTGTGATCACATGTTGCTCTGATAAAACATCCTTCATATGTTTTTGACAAGGAAAATGAAGAGAAGAAAAAACTGTACCATTTTGAAATTATTAGAATAATTGTATTAATTCAATTTTGCTCTCACAGAATGTGAAACAGCTAAAAGTTGAATAGTGTTTATTTGAAAAACTGAAATCCTTATCTTCACTAATCTATAAAGTTAATCACATCTGGACTCACACAGCCTTCCTGCAGTTCCTCTCAGCTGGAATCAGTCTCCGTCGTCCCTCCTGTGATGTTTTGTACTTCTCCAACTCATCCAGAACCTCCTCTGACATCTCCAGCCTGTAGGCCAGAGCTGAGCAGTGTTCCACAAAGAGTCTCTTCTCTGATCTGTTCTCTGACGTCAGGAACTCTGTGATCTCCTGAAGTACCGAGTGGTCGTTCATCTCTGTCAGACAGTGGAAGATGTTGAGGCTCCTCTCGGGAGAGACTTCATCACTTCTCATCTCCTTCAGGTTGCTGATGGCTCTCTGGATGATTGCTGGACGTTTGTCTGTGCAACCCAGCAGGCCTCCTAAGAGTCTCTGGTTGGACTCCAGAGAGAGGCCGTGGAGGAAGCGGACAAACAGGTCCAGGTGGCCATTTTTACTTTTGAGTGATTTCATCATGGCGCTCTTCAGGAAGACATCCAGGGATGGGTAATCCTGATCACTGCTAAACATGTTGTTATAGTCTCCCTGCAGGAAGTATTTCAGTACCTCTGTGTCTCTGTTGGTGTAACAGTGCAGCATGTAGACTGCAGCCAGAAACTCCTGAATGCTCAGATGAACAAAGCAGTAGACAGTTTTCTTGAAGATCACACTCTCTCTTTTGAAGATCTCTGTACAAACTCCTGAGTGCACCAAGGCCTCGGTGACGTCAAGACCACAGCGCTCCAGGTCTTCTTGGTAGAACATGATGTCCCCTTTCTCCAGATGTTCAAACGCCAGCCTCCCCAGCTTCAGAAGAAGCTCCCTGTCAGCCTCAGTCAGCTGCTGTGGACTCGTCTCATGTCCCTCTTCGTACTTCTGCTTCTTCCTCTTGGTCTGGACCAGCAGGAAGTGTGAGTACATGTCAGTGAGGGTCTTGGGCAGCTCTCCTCTCTGGTCTGTAGTCAACATGCGGTCCAGAACTGCAGCAGTGATCCAGCAGAAGACTGGGATCTGACACATGATGTGGAGGCTCCTGGAGCTCTTGATGTGAGAGATGATTCTGCTGGACCATTCTTCATCACTCGATCTCCTCCTGAAGTACACCTCCTTCTGGACGTCAGTGAAGCCTCGTACTTCTGTTACCCTGTCGACACACTCAGGAGGGATCTGATTGGCCGCTGCAGGTCTGGAAGTTATCCAGATGAGAGCCGAGGGAAGCAGCTTCCCCCTGATGAGGTTAGTCAGCAGCACGTCGACTGAGGACTGCTGAGAGACATCAGACACAACCTCATTGTTTTTGAAGTCCAGAGAAAGTCTGCTTTCATCCAGGCCGTCAAAGATGAACAGCACTTTGCAGACAGCCAGCTGCTCTGCTGTGACCTCCTGTAAGGTTGGATGGAAATCATGGAGCAGTCTGAGAAGACTGTACTGCTCACCTTTGATCAGGTTCAGCTCCCTGAAGGAGAGCGGGATCACCAGACTGACATCTTGGTTTCCCAAACCCTCGGCCCAGTCCAGAGTGAACTTCTGCACTGAGAAGGTTTTTCCAACTCCAGCGACTCCGTTAGTCAGGACCGCTCTGATGTGAGTCTGTTGGTCAGGTGAGGCTTTAAAGATGTCCTGGCACTTGATTGGAGTGTAATGGAGGGTATTTGTCTTGTAAGCTGCCTCAAGCTGCCTCACCTCATGTTGGGTATTAACCTCTTTACTCTGTCCTTGTGTGATGTAGAGCTCAGTGAAGATCCTGTTGAGGCTGGTTTCACTTTCATTAGTTCCTTCAGTCACTTGTTCACATCTCTCCCTCAGACTGAGCCTATGTTCCTCTAAAACCTCCTGCAGACCACGTTCTGCTGAAAGAGAAGGAAACGTGAGAATAATGATCTTTTTAAATGAACTTATATTATGTACAACACAACAGGAGGAATCCTGTTTTCAGGCATGAAGACACCAGGGGGGTATACTACGAAGCAGGATTTTCGCTTAGCGGCTAAATTCAGGGGAAACTCCGGCTTTCCGGTCCTACGAAGCTGGTTCTCTTTTTAGCAGGCTAGATCTCCATGGTAACTTATGCTGTGCGGCTAACCTGCCCGGGTTAGGTTGCAGGCTAAGAGCTCAACTCAGTGAAAGCACCGCCTGCTGACCAATCAGAGCTCAGTGAGCGGAGTTTAAAGCGATCAAGTCATATTACAGGAGAAAGGAAATACAGAAAAGCTGCCGTTGCAGGAAAGACGGCCGGCAAAAATCACCGACTGTGTGAACGTGAACATTAATAGAATATCAGCTCCATCTTCAGAGCAATCTGACTATTATAACATTAGCGTTAAGAACACTTACCACATATCTACCACAACATAAGTAACCGGATCAGAGTAACATTAAGTACAGTCCGCGGCATATCACTTCATAATGTATCATATATTTTCTTATCTGAGTCAGCTGAGCCCTATCGGGCCGTGCAACACTCACAGTGTCACATACTGTATGCAGAAGTATTATTTTAAGCAACACATTAAGTTGACGAAACACTCGAGACAAATGTAATTAAAGTCAGATCGTGTTTTAGACGGGGCAGTGATATCATAAACCTGTTAATGTACGCATTCAAACACTTTTTCTTTTGCCAGCTGTATTCACCTTGCAGGTGCAGCTATGTGGCTTTTATCCTGGATAAAGTGTTTAAGTCATGGATGTTTAAAGTTTAACTTCTTCATTTTTGACTAGTATTAAAATTCACTTTTCATTCAGGAAGTATGACGCTGCGCTGTCAGTATACGCTTCTCCATGTTTGTGATTGGTCGAATGCTCCAGATACCACCCCTCTCATGTGAACGCGCACCTAACTAGATAGGACACGGCTGGCTTGAGCGATCCACTTGATAACCAGCGTCGTAGTACAGTTTAGCGAGAGCGCGTATGTTTTGGATTAGGCCAACCGGCTAACTCAAACATATCCAGGTTAGGTTGAACCAGCTTCGTAGTATAGGCCCCTGGGGGGTATACTACGAAGCAGAATTTTCGTTTAGCAAGATAACTTCTGGTATTTCCGGTACTACGAAGCTGGTTCACTTTTTAGCGGGGTAGATCTCCATGGTGACTTATCCTGGAACCTAGCCTGTGCTCCGAAGCCGGATAGGTTCCAGGATAAGAGATCAACTCAGCGAAAGCACCACGCCTGCTGACCAATCAGAGCTCAGTGTGCGGAGGAAATACAGTTTAAACTGCCGTTGCAGGAAAGACGGCCGGCCAAAATCACCGACTGTGAACGTGAAAATGAATAGAACATCACCTCCCATCTTCAGAGCGATCTGACTATTATAACTATTATACTATTAGGCTATGTTAAGAAAGCTTAATTAAATATCTGCCACAACATAAGTAACCGGATCAAAGTAACATTACGTAGCCTACAGTCAGCGGCACTGTGAGTGCAGACGTCGATGTGTCCCATTATCATTCATATCACATCATATCACATCATAATGTATCCTATATCTCCTTATCTGAGTCAGCTGAGCCGTATCTGGCCGTGCAACACTCACAGTGTCACATACTGTATGCAGAAGTATTATTTTAAGCAACACATTAAGTTGACGAAACACTCGAGTCAAATGTAATTAAAGTCAAATCGTGTCTTAGACGGGGCAGTGATATCATAAACCTGTTAATGTATTCAAACACTTGTTCTGTTACCAGCTGTATTCACCTTGCAGGTGCAGCTATGTGGCTTGTATCCTGGATAAAGTGTTTAAGTCATGGATGTTTAAAGTTTAACTTCTTCATATGTCTAATATTATAGTTGACTTTTCATTCAGGAAGTATGACGTGATTGGTCGAAGGCTCCAGATACCACCCTGTAAGTGCAGCCTTGACATGTTCATAATTTAACTGTAATGTGTAATAATAATTATTGTTGTAATGTTTCATGCGTGCAATATTTCGTCTTTTATTTTGAAGTCCAAGCTCACGTCTCGTTATGCTGTTCTCGCGTGAGTTAGAGAGCGAGAACATGAGAAGCACCCTCAGAGTAAGATGCACGGATACTTAAAGCTCCGTTAGTTTTGTATTCTTATACATATAAGTTGTGAAGAGAACTGAAGAATACTTCCCTCTGTTTACAGAGCATGCAGCCCAACGAGGTATGTTGTTGTGTTTGTATTACTTTTATGTTTATTATCTCACATGCTGTGCATGTTATTGTGTGTCTAACACGAAACTATGTTTGTCATTTATACTGTTTGTTTGTGTAGTTTTCACGGTGGATTCGGAGGAATAAACCCGTTATGAGAAAGCCACTTGTGTCTGCCTGTGCTTCGAGGGAATTACAGTGAAAACTCGACTGTCCATCGACGCGAGTGTGTCTTAATTGACGAAGCGGCAACTTCAGAGGATCACGGACTGAGCACGAGGCTGTCTTCAAATGGCCGCCGGAGGAGGAGAAACTACGCATGCACACACAGAAGTGGACGACGCGCGCAGTTCTTAAAAGAGCAACGCTTCAAGACAGAGCCATAAAGAACTTGGACACTAAGAAATCAATAGTGATCTGAGTAAAGGGCTTCTGTAAAGGTTTGCTAAACCATTATTACTGTGAGTGCCAACTATAGTAGCGTGTGTGGTTAGCGTTTTGACTTATTTGCTCATGTCATTTTATTAAGGCTTGTTAATTAAGGCGTAAAGTTAAAGGGAACATAAGTGTTTTTATTTCCAATTTCTAATTCAAAGTGTGTTTTTGGGAATAATAAGTGAAAGTTATTTCATTGAAGTTCTGAAGTCTTATTTTTGAGTATATTTTGAAAGGTGTAAAGTTCAATTAAGCTGGTTTTTGCACATTTTCTATTTTAAGTGCATTTCTACCTCTATTGAAGTCTTATAGGGTACATTTAAGTCACACTTACATTTGAGTAAGTGTTGAAAGTTCATTAAAAGGTTTAACTGCATTTTGCTGTTTATAAAAGTGAGTCACTTTAAAGTAGTGATTACTAATGTCTATGTCGAGTGAGCCTACAATGCAGGTTAGGGAAAGTGCAGAGTCCCAAGACGAAGCTGTGGATAACACTGAAGCACAGCAGCTAAGAAGAGGTCAAAGAACTAAAACTCCTACAGAAAAGGGTAGAGAAATGCAAGAAGAACAAATGAAAACGCTCCTACAAAAGTTCAACTACAATTATGAGAAATGGAGAACACAAGTGAAAACAGCTAAGCGGCCATTATCTCAAACAACAGAGTCTTTGTCTGAAGATTTGCTTAATGACATAATTCATGATGTCACAAGTTTGTCAGAAGATGTCCAACATGTTTATGAGGATCTGCGTACAATCTCAACTCCAGACCAGGACACGCGTCGAAGAGTGGATCTGTGTGCAGAGATTTCTAAGTTCGTCATCATCAGAGCCTCAAGTCTCCTGGATGGAAAGGTTCCAGAAGGAGAAAAGAAAGATTGGCCTGAAGCAGGTTCTCTCTTTGACTCAAGCACCTACACTTCTTCTTCGAAAAGCAACTCCAAGCAATCGAACCAGTCTTCTGTGAAGCGACAAGAAGCTGCTGCTGAGGCTGCTGCAAGCCAAGCTGTTCTGAAAGTGTTACAAGAACAAGAAAGAGAACATTTGGAGATTCAGCGCCTGGAAGCAGAAGCTAAAAGAAAGATAGCTGATCAAGAGACTGCAGCCATGAGGCGTTGTTTAGAAAGAGAAGCAGAAGAGTTAAGACATCGTTCAAAAAGAGAATCAGAAGAGTTAAGACATCGTTCAGAAAGCGAGGAAGAGGAAGCTAAAATTAAAGCTCGTCTAGAAGAAGAGCATGTAGCTCTACAACAGACTCTGGATGACAAACGGAGACAAATACAGCATTTGGAAGCAGTAAAAGATTTAAATGCAGCACGAGCAAGAATGCAAGTGTATGACCAAGAAGAGTCCATTAAAGAATAATGGAAAGACGTGCTAGAGAGGGATCTGGTAAGTAACCCAGTGCCTGTTCCCACAAGTCCTCAACGACAGGTTGTCACTATTTCCTCAAGTGAAAGTACAGCAGAGCTTGTTAAGGTGCTAGCTGGTGCCTTAACTGCCAACAGAATTCCAGTTCCTGAACCCTCAGTATTCAGTGGGGATGCATTGAAATACAATGACTGGAAACTTTCATTTGAAATACTGATTGACCAGAAGAACATCCAAGACAAAGAAAATATATACTACTTAAGGAGATATGTTAGTGGACAAGCTAAGAAAGCACTTGATGGTTATTTCCTGCTCGGAACCAAATCTGCCTATGTTGCAGCATGGGAGATTTTGGAGGAGAGATATGGGAATCCATTTACAATTGCAAAAGCCTATAGAGACAAGCTTCAATCGTGGCCCAAGATAGGATCTAAGGACAGCTTTGAGCTCAGAGATTTTGCAGACTTTCTCCGTAGTTGCGAGGCTGCCATGGTCCATATCAAGGCATTAGAGATCTTGAATGACTGTAATGAAAACAGGCAAATACTTTCAAAATGACCAGATTGGCTAACTGCAAGCTGGAATCAGAAGGTTACTGAAGTCCAAGAAGACAGTAAACAATTTCCCTCCTTCAGCCAATTTGTAAAGTTTTTGACAAGAGAAGCAAAGATTGCCTGTAACCCTGTCACATCATTGCAATCACTGAAGCAAGGTGAAGCTGAAAACACCAAATCTCAAAGACAACAAAGCTTTGCAGCAAAGACACTGACCACAAGTTCAGACGAAAACACCGTCTTAACATTCTGTGTAAGAAGAATTGGCATTCCTTGCACAATTGCAGGAAGTTCATGGAGCAAGCTGTCCCAGACAGAATCAAGTACATTCAAGCTCAGAAGCTATGCTTTGGATGTCTCGAGACTGGCCATCAGTCAAGGAGCTGCCACAGTAGGAGTGTATGTGAAGTATGCAAGAAGCAACATCCTACCTGTCTGCATGAAGAGCGTACAAATCAAGAAAGATACAAAGAAAGACCTCAACCAACACAACAAGAAGAAAGAACCACAGCGGCTATTTCCAACAGAGTAATACTTGGTGAAGGTAACACGCAAACAGCTGCTATAATTCCAGTCTGGCTTTCATCCACATGTCAACCAGCAGAAGAAATCCTTGTATACGCTCTGTTGGATTCTCAAAGTGACACAACATTTGTGCTAAGTGAAGTAGCTGAGGCTTTGGAAGCAAGTAAACAACAAGTCAAGCTCAAGCTATCTACTATGACCTCAAGAACCACAGTTGTAAGCGCTCAAAGAGTGAACAACCTACAAGTCAGAGGCTTTTACTCCGGTAAAAAGATTCCCTTACCACCAGTCTATACACGTGACTTCATTCCAGCCAATAGAACTCACATACCAACAGATGAAACTGCAAAAGCTTGGTCTCATCTAGAGCACCTCCAAGGAGAGATTGCACCTCTGCAAGACTGTGAAGTGGGTCTGCTCATAGGGTACAACTGCTCACAAGCTTTACTTCCAAGAGAAGTTGTGTCTGGCAAAGAAAATCAACCTTACGCACAACGTACAGACCTTGGATGGAGTATTGTTGGAAACATGAATCCCTGTGTAGATTATGGAGACGCCATTGGCGTTAGCCATCGCATAGTAGTAAGACAAGTGACACCAGGTGTAGAACCTTCTCTCAGTCTCAAAACTGAAGTACACTATGTGAGCCGAACCAAAGTTAAAGACAATCCAGCAGATCATGCCTCTCAAGGTTTAACTGCAGAGCAACTGAAGACTTCAAACTGGTTCACAGGACCAAAGTTTCTTTGGCAAAAGGACCTACCTGTAAGAGAATGCAAGGTGGGAGAAATCAATAAGGATGATCCTGAACTTCGCAAGGAAGACGGGTCATTATTGGATCGCTTACAGAAATGCTCTGATTGGTCAAGAGCAGTTGCAAGACTGAAACGACATGCCAAAGAACACCAAGGTGTGAAACAAAGAACCAATGAATGTACAACCATTAAAGGGGAAAGACCAAAGTTACCTGACAACAAGACGTGTGCAGTACACCGCCTAAATTGTCTTGAAAGAAGACTAAAGAAGTCTTTCCAGGGTCAGATAGTAGGGTCAGAAAACTTAAATTACTGGTTAGCCAAAGCACATTTGACAAAAAGGGTAAACCCATAATTAGGACTGTGTTCCTTGAAATACCTGTACACAAGGTTGTTACTCTGCTTGAGGCAGAATAAGGTGTTTAATGTGTTGCCTGAGATTCCATGTTAAGTTGTTATCTACAGGTAATGTCTATTTCAAAGTGTAAAGCGTGTACTTTGTACAATAATCTTTTGTGTGAAATCTCACGAGTAATGTGTGATTTGGTGGGAGTGTAAGTGCAGCCTTGACATGTTCATAATTTAACTGTAATGTGTAATAATAATTATTGTTGTAATGTTTCATGCGTGCAATATTTCGTCTTTTATTTTGAAGTCCAAGCTCACGTCTCGTTATGCTGTTCTCGCGTGAGTTAGAGAGCGAGAACATGAGAAGCACCCTCAGAGTAAGATGCACGGATACTTAAAGCTCCGTTAGTTTTGTATTCTTATACATATAAGTTGTGAAGAGAACTGAAGAATACTTCCCTCTGTTTACAGAGCATGCAGCCCAACGAGGTATGTTGTTGTGTTTGTATTACGTTTATGTTTATTATCTCACATGCTGTGCATGTTATTGTGTGTCTAACACGAAACTATGTTTGTCATTTATACTGTTTGTTTGTGTAGTTTTCACGGTGGATTCGGAGGAATAAACCCGTTATGAGAAAGCCACTTGTGTCTGCCTGTGCTTCGAGGGAATTATACACCCCTTTCATGTGAACGCGCACCTAACTAGATAGGACACGGCTGGCTTGAGCGAACGAGTTGATAGCCAGCGTTGTAGGACAGTTTAGCGAGAGCGGCTTCGTTTTGGATTAAGTCAACCGGATAACTCAAAACATATCCAGGAGAGGTTGAACTAGATTCGTAGTATACCCCCCAGGAGACAGAGGTTAAGACTTACTTTGTACTGTTCTGGTCTGACTGGCTGTCTGCAGTCCAGCTCTGGTTCTGGATCTTTTCCCACACTGGGGACATGAGGAGTCTCCTGATGGAGGTTGTTGCTCCCAGTATGAGGTGATGCACTGTCTGCAGAACCAGTGTCCACAGCTGGTAGAGACTGGATCCTTCAGGAGGTCCTGACACAGAGCACAGCTGGACAGCTGCTCCTCCACAGGAACATGACTTTTCCTCTTCCCTCTGTGGAGATGAACACATCCTTTAGAGCACATTACGGTGACTGATTGTTTAAGTTCTTTATCTGTAGATGATATTTCATCCTGATAACTGTTCCAAAGTGGTAGATATTTAGTTATTCATATCATTATGAAAGAAAACGCCCTTCTGTCTGTAACATCATCCGCCTACAGCATGTTCACTGTACCTCACAAGTTGTTACGGCTAAATTAAACTGGTTTATGTAATAACTCCATAATGATTCCAATTTGTAAAAGCAGTTAACACTTTGTCAGGTCTGTCCACATGGAAAGCAAATCACTTTGAAAATGCTAGTTAATGAATGGGGATTAGATTGAGTGGAGTGAGACTTAGCTAACTTTGTGGCTGCTCCATTAACAGTCAAACTAACATCAAGGTTGATACACATACATGTTTAACTTAAATTCAATATGAAGTACTGTAGAACTCTAGGTGCCGATATTCTATACTGAGCTCTGCTGAATTTCTATACTATGGGCTACTGCACTCATGTAATTATTAAAGAAAAGTGTAAAATGATCAGATGGCCTATATATAGATGTATACAGTATATATATATATATGTTTGTCAGGTCAGTTCACAGTAGAAACAGACTCTTACTTTGTGTCTGGGGGTCCAGGTTCATTACTGAACCTAAGTTCATCTTTGGACCAGTCACTCTTCATAGACAGACAGCTGGAGAATGGAGACTCTTCTCCCCGTCTGTGGAAACAACAAATGTTTAAAACACATCAATAGTTCTTGTAAAAAGCAGCGTTTGATTTCAGTTTTGATTTTCTTTCCCCTTTTAAAGATTTTCGTTTTTACTCTAAACTTTATGTCTTAACAATTGGGTTTTTGGGTTTCTGTTGTTGCAATTCTTTGAGAGTGAAAAGTTCTACATGTTCCAAGTGAATTTACTTAACCAAACACAAAGTCCTACATGTCGAGTGTGAGAATGATTTCACTGTTGCAGTTTATTTACTACCGCTGATGATGCCAAGGAGAACAGCGTCACAGGCGTGCAAAGTGTGGACCCAAAAGCACAGATGCAGACACAGCTTTGAAGCACAAAAGAGTCTTTACTTGAGTTACTGATAAAAGATACAATAATGCTATGATTCCAAAAACACAGGATCAGCAGATCCAGAAAAGACATACAATAAATATCTACCTGAAGCTTACCGATCAATAACTAGAAAAATACTTAATAACTACTACCTGATCTTACCTTACTATAACTATGAACGTGGACTATGACTATTACTTTAACTGGACCATGATTTACGAAAACGCTGGAGAGCTCGGCACAACACACAAGACAATCTGGCAACGAGACGGTGAATAGCTGGGCCTACATATACTGACATCACCTGGTGCAGACAATAATGACCTGACAAACAATCACCAGGGTGGGAAACAGAATATGTGGATAAGCAATGCTTGTTTATGATTGATCCACGTGATGTCATAGTAACAATATGCGTCATCAGCCAGACAGACAGTCAGACATTCAAACAATGTGTGAAGTTCACCTTCCTTCAAGACATAAGCCTGTTTGTCTGGTTTATTAATACATACTGAGTATTGGCACGTTGTCGTCTGGAGTATTAATTGTACACATAGTACAAGAACAAGACAGTTACATACTGTGTGCGCTTTACAGTGTTTCATTACTGAACTCTACTGTAGATGTTTACTGTATTCTACTGTACTGTAATCTACTTCACTCGTATAATTATAAAATTATATTTTAAATGGTCAGATAGCATTCAAACTAAATCCTCTTCAGGTCTGATCACAGGAGAAACAGACTCTTAGGTCGCGTTCACGCCAGCCTGGTTTTGTCCGGTTGAATCGAACCCTGGTGCGTTTAACCCCTTGGTGCGGTTTGTTTGGGTCGGTGTGAACACAGTCCGAGACCTCTGATGTGAACTAAACAAACGGACTCTGGTCCACTAAAACAGGCGGTCTCGGAGCGCTTGCTCGTGAACTCTGGAGCGGTTCATCGCTGGTGTGAACGCAGTCCGCACCAAAACACAGGAAGCGTAGTATTTACGAGTCACAAGAACGCAGATGTCTTCAAAATCTTTAGTGAAAGAGTGAAGCAGAATGAAATGTTGAACGGTGTCGTGTAAAGCAAAAATGCTCCGTCAACTATACATATTTTTTTAACGCACGTCGTCTGATTGTATAATCATATGCGCCGTCCGCTAGAGTCAGTTGATATGCTCTCCAGATCAGATAGATAGATAGATAGATAGATAGATGGATGGATGGATGGATAGATGGATAGATAGATAGGTAGATAGATATATGGATGTATAGATAGATGGATAGATAGATAGATAGATGGATGGATGGATAGATGGATAGATAGATAGGTAGATAGATATATGGATGTATAGATAGATGGATAGATAGATAGAAGGATGGATGTATAGATAGATAGATGGATGGATAGATGGGTAGATAGATAGATAGATATATGGATGTTCGATAGCTGGTATCTAATAGATAGCTGGCTGGCTGTCTCGCTCGCTCGCTGGCTCGCTCGCGCGCTGGCTGGCTCGCTCGCTCGCTCGGTCGCTCGCTCGCTCGCTCTCTGGCTGTCTCGCTCGCTGCTCCTCGCTCGCTGGCTGGGCTGGCTGTCTCGCTCGCTCGCTGGCTGGCTCGCTGGGTCGCTCGCTCGGTCGCTCGCTCGCTCCTCGCTCGCTCGCTCGCCTCGCTCGCTCGCTGCTCGCTCGCTCGCTCGCTCGCTGCCTCGCTCGCTCGCTCGCTCGCTGGCTCGCTCGCTCGCTGGCTCGCTGGCTGGCTGGCTCGCTTGGCTGGCTCGCTGGCTCGCTCGCTGGCTCCCTCGCTCGCTCGGTCGCTCGCTCGCTCGCTCGCTCGCTCGCTCGCTGGCTCGCTCGCTCGCTCGCTCGCTGGCTCGCTGGCTGGCTCGCTGGCTCGCTCGCTCGCTCGCTCGCTCGCTCGCTCGCTCGCTCGCTGGCTCGCTGGCTGGCTCGCTGGCTCGCTGGCTGGCTGGCTCGCTCGCTCGCTCGCTCGCTCGCTGGCTGGCTCGCTGGCTGGCTCGCTGGCTCGCTCGCTGGCTCCCTCGCTCGGTCGCTCGCTCGCTCGCTCGCTCGCTCGCTCGCTCGCTCGCTCGCTCGCTCGCTCGCTCGCTCGCTCGCTGGCTGGCTCGCTGGCTGGCTCGCTGGCTCGCTCGCTCGCTCGCTCGCTCGCTCGCTCGCTCGCTCGCTCGCTCGCTCGCTCGCTCGCTCGCTCGCTCGCTAGCTCGCTCGCTCGCTCGCTCGCTCGCTCGCTCGCTGGCTCGCTCGCTGTCTCGCTGGGCTGGCTCGCTCGCTCGCTCGCTCGCTCGCTCGCTCGCTCGCTCGCTCGCTCGCTCGCTCGCTCCTGGCTCGCTTCGCTCGCCTCGCTCTCTCGCTGGCTCGCTCGCTGGCTGGCTCGCTCGCTGTCCTCGCTGGCTGGCTCGCTCGCTGGCTCGCTCGCTCGCTCGCTCTCTCGCTCGCTCGCTCGCTCGCTCGCTCGCTCGCTCGCTCGCTCGCTCGCCTGGCTCGCTGGCTCGCTCGCTCGCTCGCTCGCTCGCTCGCTGGCTCGCTGGCTGGCTGGCTCGCTCGCTCTCCCCTCCAGTTTTCTTTCTCTCGCCCCTTTCTCCCCGCTTTTTGCCGCCCACGTGCTGTCCTCTCCTCCCCCTCGCCTACAGTAGAGACACTTTACAGCAAATACAACAGCACAGATTGTTCAGAATATCAGTATGAGAAAACGACACCTCTATCCTTAGACCCTCACATCGTACAAGGAAAGACTTCCAGAGAAAACTCACAGTTTAAGGGGAAAAAATGGGAGAAACCTCAGGGAGAGCAACAGAGGAGGGATCCCTCTCCCAGGACGGACAGACGTGCAATAGATGCCGTGTGTAAATCAAAGAGATAATACATTTTACAGATAGATAGAAAGATAGATAGATAGATATATAGATAGATAGATGGATGGATGGATAGATAGGTAGATAGATAGACAGATAGACAGATGGATGGATGGATGGATGGATGGATGGATAGATAGATGGATAGATAGATGGATGGATGGATAGAATATACATTTCTAGTAACAAATATAATGCAGGATATGATTGTGCAAGAAATTGATTATTCCAGTGGTTCCCAACCTGGGGGGTTGGAGCGCTATTGGACCCCCCGCACGTGAAGCTTTGGAAGAAGTTGTGAACAAACATTGTTTGCTCGTAAAATCAATAGAATTGACACATTTTCAACACAACCGGCAGCTAAAATAAAAAGTGGCCTTTCAGCTATAATGCCAACAAAGTATGATGTGGCATACATCTCTATTGACATCTAACGTGTTTGGTGCGGAGATCTCTCTCTCTCTCGTCTGTGTTGGGGGCGGGGCATCTCGCTCAAAGACTCGCTGCAGCACCGTGCACATAGAGATGCACGTGGAGAACAGAGCGTTCAAAAGTGACTATCTAATCTACAGAGCTCGATGTGGTCAATGCTCGTTTGCCATAAGTATTTTCGCGGAAACACAAGCAATCTGTCCATACCCTTGTTTCTCTGAGAAGAGAAGAAATACTATTCTAAAAAGGAGCTGACACATGGTGTCTCTTCACTTGTACACTTGAGGGGTCAGAGTTCATATGGTGAGGGATTCCATGAGCGGTATGCGCCGGCCTGTGCCTTTACCTTGGACTTCTAATAGAACTGCTCGGGTCTTGATAGATTGAGTGGGGAAGTTCATGAGATCTTTCGAGAGGGTTATCAAGAATAACTTTGATCCAATGACCTTTTCCCTCTCTGTCTGTGTCTGTGTATTCTCTTGTTCCGATTAACCCAGCCAAATCTTTTTTCTTGTTTTGTATCTATATCTACGCCGGGATCCGGAGTCGAGGCTGATCCTCTTGCTGTAGTCCTGTGTCTTGGATCCTCTATCCTGAGTTCTGGATTAAGTGGTGGACGTTCGGGTCGTGGCTGAACCTGTCTCTGCGGTCCTGCCTTGGGTCTCGTCATGCTGCTTCCCTGATGGCTTCCACAGGATTGTAGCTGACATCCTCGTGGATTCATCTTCTTATTACAGACACAGGCATTTCCTAACATTCGGTCTATATGCTGTAAAATGTATTATCTCTTCGATTTACACACGGCATCTATTGCACGTCTGTCCGTCCTGTTGCTCTCCCTGAGGTTTCTCCCATTTTTTCCCCTTAAACCGTGGGTTTTTCTCTGGAAGTCTTTCCTTGTACGATGTGAGGGTCTAAGGACAGAGGGTCTAAGGACAGAGGGTGTCGTTTTTATTTCTCATACTGATATTCTGAACAATCTGTGCTGTTGTATTTGCTGTAAAGTGTCTCCACTGTAGGCTAATTTTATTATATGTACAGCACTTTGGCTCGACCAAAAATCGTTTATAAATGTGCTATATAAATAAAACTTGATTTGATTGGAACACACATTACTAGTTCTTGTAAAAAGTAGCATTTTATTTCAGTTTTGATTTTGTTTAAACGATTCAAGATTTTTGGTCAAATTCTGAGTTTTAAAATTGTGTTTGTGGGTTTCTGTTGTTACAATTTATTCATGAGATTGAAAAGTTTTACATGCTTAGAGTTAATTTACTTAACAAAACACAAATTCTTACGTATCCGGTGTGAGAATGATTTCACTATAGTAGTTTATTTACTATTGCTGTTGATGCAAAGGAGCACAACGTTCAATCACGTGTTTACTGTACTTTTCTGTATTTATTTACTGTGTTTTACTGTGTTTCTGTGCTGTCATTTACTGCACTGATGTAAATATTAAAGACCAGTGTATATTATCTGTTGGCAAATGAAGGCAAATGAATCCTTGTCGGGTCAGTTTACAGTAGAAACAGACTCTTACTTTGTGTCAGAGGGTCCAGGTTCATTACTGAAGTATATAGGTTCTCTTTTGGACCGGTCACTCTTCATAGACAGACAGCTGGGGACTGGAGACTCTGCTCTCTGTCTGTGGAAACAAGACATTTGTTACACACATCATTAGTTCTTGTAATAAAAAACAGCGTTTGATTTCAGCCCTTTTACCCGATTAAAGGTTTTTGGACTTGCTCCCAACTTTCTGTTTTCGAAGTCATGCTTGAGGGTTTCTGTCATTACAATTCATTTGTAACAGTGAAACATCTTACATGTTAGAATTTACTGTAATTGACCAAACTGTGTTTCTGTTCTGTAAAATGTCATCATTTAGAGAACACTTTAGATCAGTGGTTCCCAACCTTTTTTCCCAAAAATGACAACAGCGGTAATTAAAGTTTAAAAGTCTCAAAATGCTACAACTACAGTCACAAACTGGATGAATGTGAAATATTTTGTAAGAGGAGGATGAAAGCGTAATTAAGGAGCACTATTGGATTGACTTTGATGGTTATTGGACTCAGGATTAATTAATTTGGATTCCCGCTGTATGAAGAAATTAAAGGACGGCGGAAGTGGAAACAATTCACAGAGGGATTAAACTGTCTAAAACACATGCTCAAAGTAAGCCGGACTTTGCCGATGTGTTTATGTGGATTCAAAAGTCATAAATAATCTACAAAATGGAGGAGACCGATCTGATCGGAGCAACTGTGACAAATAATCCAACTGAAACCAGCATGGACAATGACTATGTTTTAAAAATGCGCTTATCCAGAAAAGCCCGGTTTGGACACTTTACGCGCAGAAGAAACATTTCTATAGAAAGAATTATACATTTCTGTCTTTTTATGCCTTTAATACACTAACTTGAATTGTTATTCAAATTAATTAATCAATTATTTTTTATAAATTGCGTTACAATTATATGTAAAAAAATAAAATAAAATAAAAAGTCTAAATGTGATATTTGGCCTCAAATCATCTGAGGTTTGGCGCCCTCCCTGCGATCTTTGGCGCCCCCCCCAAGGGGGGCGCGTGCCCCCCAGGTTGGGAACCACTGGTTTAGATGATCACATGGCATAAAAACTGAATCCTCTTCCGGTCAGTTCACAGTAGAAACAGACTCTTACTTTGTGTCTGAGGGTCGAGGTTCATTACTGAAGTATATAGGTTCTCTTTTGGACCGGTCACTCTTCATAGACAGACAGCTGGGGACTGGAGACTCTGCTCTCTGTCTGTAGAAGCGACAAATAGATTACCACACATCATTAGTTCTTGTAAAAAGTAGCGTTTGATTTCAGTTTTGATTTTGTTTACACGATTCAAGATTTTGGGTCTAACTCTGAATTTTCGAGTTTTAAAATTGTGTTTGTGGGTTTCTGTTGTTACAATTTATTTGTGAGATTGAAACGTTTTACATGCTTGAAGTTCATTTACTTAACAAAACACAAATTCTTACGTATTGTGTGTGAGAATAATTTCTCTATAGTAGTTTATTTACTATTGCTGTTGATGCAAAGGAGCACAACGTTCAATCACATGTCTTTACTGTACTTTTCTGTATTTATTTACTGTGTTTTTCTGTGTTTCTGTGCTGTTATTTACTGCACTGATGTAAATATTAAAGACCAGTGTATATTATCTGTTGGCATATAAAATGAATCCTCTTCCGGTCAGTTTACAGTAGAAACAGACTCTTACTCTGTGTCTGAGGGTCCAGGTTCATTACTGAAGTATATAGGTTCATCTTTAGACCAGTCACTCTTCATAGACAGACAGCTGGGGACTGGAGACTCTGCTCTCTGTCTGTGGAAACAAGACATTTGTTACACACATCATTAGTTCTTGTAATAAAAAACAGCACTTGATTTCAGCCCGTTTACCCGATTAAAGGTTTTTGGACTTGCTCCCAACTTTCTGTTTTCGAGTCATGCTTGAGGGTTTGTAACGATCAACTAGGGCTGTGCGATTATGGCAAAAATCATAATCACGATTATTTGGTCAATAATTGATATCACGATTATTTAGACGATTATTCATTGACCATTTATTGAACTTTAAAACAAATAATATTTTACCAATAAACAAGATCAATAAATGTGTTGGAGCGCACTTCCAAAACCATACTAAAACATATATTATTAATATGATAAATAAAAATAAATTAGACCAAAATGAATGAAATCAAACATGTTGCAGTGCACTGTCACAACCTACTGAAAACTCCTTAACATATAGCCAACATTTTGGTTCAACATATTCAACATATTCCACTCAGTTAAACGTTGAAGGCTGGCCCACCGTCATGGTCCAGAAGTAACAGGAAATAAATGTTGAACTACAATTTAAGACCAAATAAAAATGTTTAGGCCACCATGGCAAATGCTGGTAGGACTGCTCATGTCATCTCTTAAAGATGTTTTGCAAGAAACACCAGTCTGTTTACATGGTCTGGTTTCAGAGATGAGCGCAGGCAGGAGACGATATTGCCACCTGTACTGAAGACCCTCTCTGAAGAGGAACTTGTGGCAGTGCTGCCACATATGACACAGGAAAAAAAGAAAATACTCTGAAGAACCCTTTCTTTGCCATTATATAAAAATAGTGTTGCTACAAAAGTATAAATGAGGCTTACTAATAAGACAACTCAGATCTGAAGCTACACAGGAATCTGCTGCAACAGTGCAATAAAAAAGACAACATTAATAGAATCAAACCCATTTTTTGTTGCATTTTATTAGAGTATAAAAAGAAATGCCTTTAAAATAGGATGCAAGCAACACTAGTTTCTGAACTGATAGACTATAATCAATTTAAACAGAACAGATCTTAATGTTTGCATTCTTATACCATTTTGTACAATAATTATCATGAATAAATTCAAACAAACTAAAACTTACAGCAGATTAATAACGGTATCTAAATTGAGTTTTTATTATATCAAAAACCTGTTGAAATGCTGCTGTTATTTTTTACTGTCCCACAAAAGCGCGTCGGCAGCCTCCAGGAAAGCTTCTTTCACAACTTCGCCGTCTTCGAAAGACTTCATGTGTTTCGCTAGAACGTGACTGACACGATAAGATGCTCTGGTAGCAGCCTTGCTCTTGTTGTTGGGCCTGGTGAAAATGGACTGCTGTGCATTTAGCTGTGCTCTCAGGCAGGGGCGGATCTACCGGGGTGGCATGGGGTGGCAACTGCCACCCTAAACAATAGCCTTGCCACCCCAGCTGCCACCCCAGTTGGCATCTTTGTTTTGAAAGAAAAGTTGTGGCTCATCGGACATTTATGAGAGAAAGTCTCTAATGTCCGAGTGCAAGTGAATGCAGCACAATATGCACGTCATGTAACCCCTCCCCCGGTCCTGGCGCGAGAGTGGAAATATGATTGGTGGCGAATTCACTTGAACGGGGGGACGGCACAAAACGAGAAGCCTTTCGGACCCAAGCACTGAAGCAATGAGGTAGTTGCGGTCTACAATGACAGAGAAGAGACTGTCAGTTTGACTGTACTCAGCATTGAATCAAAACGCACTGAAGCTGTTGATCTTAATAAGTTTGTGAGGCGTTTTGCTGAACAAAATAGTAATCGCCGCATTCAGCTGTAATAGACATGCCAACTTGATGCTCTGCTCACGGATGACTCGATGAGCATAACAAACTATTAAGATGATGACCTTGTATGCGTGTATATATTTTTTTCTTTGAGGGGGTCTGCCACCAAAAAACAATTGTAAGTCCTGAACAAGTAAAATAAGACGGTGTGTAAAACTACACTGCCCAGCCAACAGAAAGTAACCACTTTGATTGAACTAGGCCAGTAGGTAAGGACTTTCCACTGGATAATAACTGCAGCGATGTTTATGTTTTAGCTGAATACACGTTTTTTTAACCCTAACTGATGCAGTTAGTCACTTCTTTAATGTTTGTTCTTTCTGATGTAAAGTCAAGGTTGTAACTGTATATCAATAATGATATAATTACTTGTTTTCAAATTTGAAGGAGGGTGAGCAAGCATCTTGATGAACATTCATCATTAACTCCTCCAAAAAATATAGTTTATTCAATAATAAATGAATATGTGAATCATAACAGTTCTTCACTATATCTGTAAAGCGTCTTTGAGCACCTGTAAAAACGCTAACAAATTAAATCTATTATTATTATTTATTAACAGTGATTGACAGCTGATAGGAATAATATGATTGTTAATAGTATCATATTCATTCAGACAAACATCGATGAGACAGTTCATTAATGTACTTATTGCAGCAGTCTGCATAGATTTGACCCTGCTGGTCTAAGAGTGAAACAAACTCATTCAGTTATTGTTCAGTTAAAATTCATTAAATTACGTCTGCCACCTTGTATGTAAGGCTTTACTGATGTGCCACAATAATATCACCTATGTGATTGAGTTAAAATATTAATATTGTGGCTTTCCAAGTTAACATTGATTGTAGGGCTGTAACGGTTCACACACATTTCGGTTCGGTACGTACCTCAGTTTTTAGGTCTCGGTTCGGTACGTTTTCGGTACAGCAGAAAAAATTATCACAAAACATTAATTTTAAATTATTATTAAACTGTGATTAATGTATTCAAATAAATACAAAATATAGTAAAAATAAACATTAAGGTGCAGCATTTCGATGAACTGAAATAATCTGTATTTGAACTGTACTGTACTAGTACCTAAGCAGCCAGCTTGACATTAGGACTTGCTTGTCATTGTATTTTCATGTTGTTTAAAGAAAGATGAACTTGTCCACATTGCTTGCCGAAAGGGCAGATCTGCTGGCACTAACAATGTCTCCTGCTGTGGAGAACACCCTCTCTAGGGACAGAGGTAGCAGATACAGCCAGGTAGCGCTTTGCTACCATGGCAACATAAGGATATTTGGCGTTTGTAATAACTTTGGCTCGGTCTGATCTTTCTGCGAGTGGTGGAGGCTTAAATGCTAGTGGGAGTTGGGTTTGTACTTCAGTCTTTTTTCTTTTGGTACCGGTGATATTCACATTCGGGTGATGCCTTTTCAAGAGTGTGCAAGTTTGATGTATTGCCAGCCGCGTAACCAATGTTAGTTGAACAATGCCGACAAACAGCTTTGGTTCGGTCCACCTGTCTTTGTCCTTCATCCTTGTACGTAACTGCGAAATCAAAATGTTCCCAAACCGGAGACTTCAATGATGCTGGAGGATTTTCAGCTCAACTTTATCTGCGTTCGCCATTTCGACAGTTCCTCAAATTACTGACTACATTTGAACGCATCCCTCTGACCAGCTCTCATAGAATGCCTCTCGTCCAATTAAATGACTTGGTCGCTCTATGATATAGATTACTTCCAGAAAGTTGTTCAATTTTTTACGTTTAACTCTATATTCGTTCGGTACACACGTGTACCGAACCGAAGGGCCCGTACCGAATAATTTCAGTACGGGTACGTGTACCGTTACACCCCTAATTGATTGATATGATTGCGATTTAAATCAGCATATACTTCTGTCAGGGGATGCCACCCCTCAAAATCTCCTGCCACCCCATGAATATTTGTCTAGATCCGCCCCTGCTCTCAGGCCCCTCCCCTTTTGGAGCGTCGGGCAGAATTAGGAGGGAATTCCGTCTCGTAGCGTTTGTGCACTGTTTTGAAATGCCGCTCCTAAATTACCCTTCTTCGGTAAAGCCACGCTCGCATTGCAGATGAGACAGATGGACTTTGAATTGGAATAGATACAAAAATAATGATCCTCCCACTTGGAGTGAAAATTATATATTTGGGGCTTTTTTGCTTCTGCCATAATTGCGGTCTTGTGTGTGTGCGGACTGTCACTCCTGTTGACCATCCATGCTGTTGACACGGACAACGTCAGCGAACTAGTGCACTGCTCACCAGCCACGCCCGGACACATGGGGTGAGGCCGGCCAATCACAAAGCTTTGATGCGTTCAAGTGCATTATTCTGGCACGGGAACATTATGTTACAGGACATTAACGATAACACAGAATATTGTTGTTCTATTTTTAGACACATCTCGCGATCGACTGGGAATCTCCCCGCGACCCTTCTTTTTAACTAGTTGCTGCTCTTGTTCTGACATCTTCGCTTGCGCTGAACACTCACAACACATGTCACTCCCACGTGGCCGAGTGGGCTTTTAGGGAGGGGCGAAAGCGCACCCAGCAAAAATAATCGTATTTTGTCAATTATGCTGTTTTCCTAATCGTCGCAAACCATAATCGTAATCGCGATTAAAATACGATTAATTGCACAGCCCTACGATCAACTATCAAAAATAGCTGTGTTAAATAAACGCACAAGGGGTTCTTGATATGAAATAATATTATAAAGGCAAAACAGAACTGATAAACGGACAATCTACTCTTTCCACAAAAAGTGTATCTACTACTGCAGGGGTGGCCAACCCGCGGCTCTCGAGCCGCATGCGGCTCTTTGCCTAGTTTCATGCGGCTCTTCAGTTCATATCGAATTGTATATGTGTGAGTTTGGGGGAGAGACACTGACTCCTGACTAGTGTTGCACGGTGTACCGATACTTGAAAGGTACCGCGATACCCTGCCGTTAAAAACGTTACTATTCCTCCATTTCATTAGTATCGGTACTTTAAGAATGACGGGGGAAAGTACTCCGGTGAGAAAGCGCCGTTTAATAAGAGCCGTGTGTGTTCAGCACTCTGCTTTCACTCCCTGCACTGCAGCCGTGCCTGCAGTCCCGCCCCTCTCAAGCACGCTCTAATGGCGCGTTTCCACTGCAGCGGGTAGCCCCGTTTAAGCGTCCTTAACCGTCTTCAAGCGGCCAGGCCGGTTTTTGGTGGCGTTTCCATATAGCCTAGTACCGGCCAGCGGGTACTTTTTCCCTCTTTTTCCGGCCTCATAAAATCGTGGTTCCCTCAGACCAGGGCCAGGGCTGAACTAGGGACGTCAACACTCTCGACTGCTGATTGGTCAGAGAGAATCGTCACAAGATTGCGCGCGAGTTCATCCCTAGCGTCGCATATATATCTAGAAGCAAGCTTGCAACATTTTTATACACAGCATTTTGTAAACGGAGGAGCTACAAAAATGGCTACTTCTAAGAAAAGCACACCGTGGTCGACCGAGGAGGTGACGACGTTCCTTCATCTCATTGGGGATGATCAAATCCAGCGGGAGCTCGACGGAACAACTCGAAATGTGAACAAAAACAAAGCCGATCGCCCCGCCTACACTGCGTTGCTACCCAAGGTCCTAAACTGTAATGGAAATGCGCCACGGCCTGGGCCGGCCAGCGAGGCAGCCCGAGGCCAGAGCGAGGACGCTTAGGGACGCTTAAACGGGGCTACCCCGCTGCAGTGGAAACGCGCTAAGTCCCTCCCCTCTCTCATGCACGCGCTAGCTGCCAGAGCATGTAAGAAAACGAGAAGCATGGCTGCGAGTGCAACTGCCGCTGCGCCTCGGCTTGTTGACAAAAAAGACGCCAGAAGCTAAATTTGGAAGTATTTTAGCTATATCTCTGACAGTGAGGACAAGCCTACGGACACCACGAGGCCTGTCTGTAAGAAATGTATTAATTTTATTTAATACGAATTATTGTCATTTATTTTATTTATTGTTCTCATTGTTTAAAAGTTTGTGTTATGGTTCTGGTTCTGGTGTGAAATAAAGCACAATAATTACATTTAAGACTGTTTCCCTTTTTTTAAGAAAAGTATCGAAAAAGAATCGGAATCGCAATTCTTGACTTAGTATCGAAAACAAAATGTTGGTATCGTGACAACACTAGCTAGCTACTCCTGACAGTTAAACCTGATAGTTAAGTATTGAATGCTGATAATTCTGACGTAATTTGGCCGGTCAAAGTTGTTTGGGCTCGGATAAAATCGCTCCGTTACTTTCGTCCCGTGTTACTTTCGTCCCGTGTTACTTTCGTCCCGGCTCTCCCTACGTGTGTATGTGTGGTGTCAGGAGTCAGTATGAGAGGATGACAGCGCGTCTAATTTTGATGTGGCCCAAGAGCCAATCACAATAATACCTGTGATGCAGTGAACCAATCACCTTTGAGGGGGGGAAACCTATCGTTGATTAAACACTATCCAGTGTTTCCCCTACCATTGTCTTGGAGGGGCGCTGCGCCCCGCCAACGGAGCCCCGCGCCCCCCCCTGGAATTCAAGGTGTTTAAAAAATATATATTATTATTATTATTTTTTAATATATACATAGCACCAAATTGCAAATAATCTATAACTACTGTCACTTTTCACATTGAACATGTGCTCTTTTATTAAATAAACTAAACGCTTTCATTTTAAGTTGTGAGTTTAGTGTTTTTGACCCTAAGAAACACTGATGCATTAATCAATACCAATAATCCACAGCTCCTCTCTCTGCTCCAGAGGATTGAAAAAATATATATCCCAATGCCACAAAAATGCATCAGTGACGTGGTTGAAATCTTGTCTCCAGAAAACAAAAAACTGAAACAAGCGGTATCAGTGACTGTGTGTTTGATGTGGCTCTTTGCAGTAAAATATAAAAAAAATGGCTCTTAACCTCTGACTGGTTGGCCACCCCTGTACTACTGTCTCCATCCACACATTCACAACATAAACAAAGACGGTTTTATACGTTATTCAATTATATTGACAGTTTTCCAGCCAAGCAAAACACAAACAAAACTCAACAAAAAGTCCGCTCGGCAATAAACCGAAATTGTCATTACTGCCTAATCCAGGCCACTATAGTTCATTGACAAAAAAGGCTGTTGCTCCTGCGCCCGTCGGCTGCAAACAAAGGAAATGTTTGTAGGCCTATTTAGGCTATAATCCACAAAAAAGGAAACACGATGATCGGCGTGGCACAAAGGAGCGATCTCACCCTGTGTTGGAGAGAATCTCTCTCTATCTGTGCGCGTCCTCTCCACGGAGACGTGCTTCCAGGTCGGTCGATGCAATATCCACTTTCAGTTTTATTTCCCGTTGTATTTTAACATATGTATACATGCTGAGGAAACTTAAATATCCCGCTGAATACCCGCATTCGCCACACACACACTTCCTCCTCCCGTGAGACCCAACCCCTGGCCTCCCGGTGACGCGCCCACTAAAAAGCCTCTGGGCGCGCCGCGACAGGTGAATGTGCAGATGAGGCTTGCAGACCCACACCCTCAAACCGTACATACCAGTGGACATTAACAACTGCAGTTGGAGGATATTATACATTATACAGGTGGCCCTGAAGTGCAAAACACCACAGCATTTCACAAAACACAACAGCATTTCAGAAAACACAACCGCATTTCAGAAAACACAACCGCATTTCAGAAAACACAACCGCATTTCAGAAAACACCACAGCATTTCACATTGGACGGAAAGGGTATTCCTTTAGGGAGAACACTTCTTGTTTATGATTGGACAGAGCCAGCCAGAGAAGCACTGCTGTGATTGGTTGTTTTTGCTGCCAGTCAAGAAATGACGCTTCGTGATTGGTCAACACCCGACAGCGAAATATGTCCCAACACATCAGCCGTTAGCACACACTCAGAGCTCACAGCTCCTCATATCTGTTCTGAAACTGGACAAAAGTTAAACATGTACAAACCATAGACTGTCTATGTCATGGCGAATACAGTCGCTGCTTTATTTATGTCTGTATGACGTTGTTGTGAGTGTGGACGGAGCAGCTACAGGTTAGTTTAGCCTGATGGGTCCGATTCCATTCAGAAAACACGCATTTTAAAAGCTTTTCGCCTGCCGTCTTATCTGCAGACTTGTCAAAGCGTTAATTCATGGTTTTTACTAACCGTTTTTTGTTGTAGCCTTTATTTAACCAGGTGAAAGCCCCTTGAGATCAAAAGATCTCTTTTTCAAGGGTGACCTGCAGGACATTAGTTACACATGTAACATAGAAACAACAGAACAACAATAAGGATGACAAACAACATAATGTACAGGGTACAGTTACAAACTCTATTTACAGTGACAGGTACCATGAGTATCAAACAGCATGTCACCCAGCCGAGTTTTAAAATGATGCAGGGGAACCAAAGTGCTCAGTTTTAAACATGTTTGCAGACTGTTCCAATTTAGTGGAGCTGCACAACTAAAAGCTTTCTTCCCTAAGACAGTCCTAGCACTTGGCACATTTAATAAAACAACATCACGAGATCTCAGGCAATATGTACTTTCAATTCGTCGAGAGATCAGAGAGCAGATATAAAAAGGTAGTTTACCCAACATGGCTTTGTAAATGAACATGTACCAGTGACTGAGCCTCCGTACAGTTAGTGAAGGCAGACCTGCCTTGGCATACAGGGTACAGTGATGAGTAAGTGCTTTACAGTTAGTGACAAATCTCAGGGCACTGTGATAGGCGGCATCTAACTTTTCCAGGCAATGGGCAGGTGCATTCATATAGATCAAATCACCATAGTCCAGCACAGGTAAAAAGGTCACGGTGACTAGCCTTTTCCTGGCTTCAAAAGAGAAACAGGACTTGTTTCTGAAAAAGAAACCTAGTCTAACCCTCAGCTTTTTAAGCAGGTTATTGACATGAAGTTTAAAAGTAAGACAATCATCAAGCCAGATACCTAGGTATTTATATTGGGTGGTCTACCATAGTATTTACGTGGAGATAAGCCCCTTGAAAACCATGAATTAATAAAGCATTAATTCTGTGTTTACTCCTGTCATTCAAACAAGACGCTGGAGAGGGGGCGGGCCGTATCTCCATGTAAATCCTATCGGAATCGGATCGATCAGGCTAAACTAACCTGTAGCTGCTCCGTCCAATCTCACAACAACGTCATACAGACATAGATAAAGCAGCGACTGTATTCACCATGACATAGACAGTCTGTGGTTTGTATATGTTTAACTTTTGTCCAGTTTCTGAACAGATATGAGGAGCTGTGAGCTCTGAGTGTGTGTGCTAACGGCTGATGTGTTGGGCCAATCACGCAGGGTAATTTCTTAACTGGCAGCAAAAACAACCAATCACAGCAGTGCTTCTCTGGCTGGCTCTGTCCAATCACAAACAAGAAGTGTTCTCCCTAAGGAATACCCTTTCCGTCCAATGTGAAATGCTGTGGCGTTTTCTGAAATGCTGTAGTGTTTTCTGAAATGCTGTGGTGTCTTGCACTTCAGGGCCACCGTACATGTATCGTAGATAGTTCATTTCATGATAAACAACATGCCTTAAACCTTTTCCCCTGCCACTACAGTTTAGAAGAAACACCTTAAATCAATGTGCGGCCGTCACAGATTTCTGTCATGACAATTCATTTGTAACGGTGAAAAATCTTACATGTTTGAATTTACTGTAATTGACCAAACTGTGTTTCTGTTCTGTAAAATGTCATCATTTAGAGAACACTTTAGATGATCACATGGCATAAAAACTGAATCCTCTTCGGGTCAGTTTACAGTAGAAACAGACTCTTACTTTGTGTCTGAGGGTCGAGGTTCATTACTGAAGCGCATAGGTTCATCTTTAGACCGGTCACTCTTCATAGACAGACAGCTGGGGACTGGAGACTCTGCTCTCTGTCTGTGGAAACAAGACATTTTTTACACACATCATTAGTTCTTGTAATAAAAAACAGCGCTTGATTTCAGCCCGTTTACCCGATTAAAGGTTTTTGGACTTGCTCCCAACTTTCTGTTTTCGAGTCATGCTTGAGGGTTTGTAACGATCAACTATCAAAAATAGCTGTGTTAAATAAACGCACAAGGGGTTCTTGATATGAAATAATATTATAAAGGCAAAACAGAACTGATAAACGGACAATCTACTCTTTCCACAAAAAGTGTATCTACTACTGTCTCCATCCACACATTCACAACATAAACAAAGACGGTTTTATACGTTATTCAATTATATTGACAGTTTTCCAGCCAAGCAAAACACAAACAAAACTCAACAAAAAGTACGCTCGGCAATAAACCGAAATTGTCATTACTGCCTAATCCAGGCCACTATAGTTCATTGACAAAAAAGGCTGTTGCTCCTGCGCCCGTCGGCTGCAAAAAAAGGAAATGTTTGTAGGCCTATTTAGGCTATAATCCACAAAAAAGGAAACACGATGATCGGCGTGGCACAAAGGAGCGATCTCACCCTGTGTTGGAGAGAATCTCTCTATCTGTGCGCGTCCTCTCCACGTAGACGTGCTTCCAGGTCGGTCGATGCAATATCCACTTTCAGTTTTATTTCCCGTTGCATTTTAACATATGTATACATGCTGAGGAAACTTAAATATCCCGCTGAATACCGGCATTCGCCACACACACACTTCCTCCTCCCGTGAGACCCAACCCCTGGCCTCCCGGTCACGCGCCCACTAAAAAGCCTCTGGGCGCGCCGCGACAGGTGAATGTGCAGATGAGGCTTGCAGACCCACACCCTCAAACCGTACATACCAGTGGACATTAACAACGGCAGTTGGAGGATATTATACATGTATCGTAGATAGTTCATTTCATGATAAACAACATGCCTTAAACCTTTTCCCCTGCCACTACAGTTTAGAAGAAACACCTTAAATTAATGTGCGGCCGTCACAGATTTCTGTCATTACAATGAATTTGTAACGGTGAAAAATCTTACATGTTTGAATTTACTGTAATTGACCAAACTGTGTTTCTGTTCTGTAAAATGTCATTATTTAGAGAACACTTTAGATGATCACATGGCATAAAAACTGAATCCTCTTCCGGTCAGTACATTAGAAACAGACTTACTTTGTGTCTGAGGGTCGAGGTTCATTACTGAAGTGCATAGGTTCATCTTTAGACCGGTCACTCTTCATAGAAACACAGCTGGGGACTGGAGACTCTGCTCTCTGTCTGTGGAAGCAACAACATGTTTAACACACATCATTAGTTGTGTTATGTAAAGGGCAGCTTTTGATTCCAGCCCGTTTACGTTATTAAAGATTTTTGGAGTTGCTCTGAACTTTCAGTTTTTAAGTCGTGTTTGAGGGTTTCGGTTGTTAGAAGTAATTTGTGAGAGGGAAAAGTGTTACATGTTCGAAGTTGATTTACTTAACCTAACACAAAGTCCTACATCTGGAATGTGAGAATGATTTCACAATAGTAGATTATTGACTGTTGCTGATGATGCCAAGGAGCACAGCCAGAGCTCAGTTACACCTCTTCACTTTCCTCTTCTGGTTTCTTTACTCTAATGTACTTTGTTTCATGACTGTACTCCACAGTGATGCTTTACTGTGTGTATATACTGTGACCTGCTACTCAGATCAAACCAGACTCCTCTTCAGGTCAGTTTACAGCAGAAACAGATTCTTACTTTGTGTCAGAGGGTCCAAGTGTATTACTCAAACCTGGAGGTTTTCTGGACACTGAAGATGTCTCCTCCTCCTCCTCCTCCTCCTCATCATCCAAATCTCTCATGGTCTCCATTCTGAGAGATGAACTAGTAACCCTGGAGACAAATACATAAACACACACACTTTATAATGCAAGCATTTCAATCAAATCCATCATAATGATACATTTTGGTTTTAATTTGTGTTGTTGTGAATGTTTCCGAATAATCTGTAAACCTTAACGTGTCAGAAAATTAACAACAAAATAATCATATTACCAAGTTTCACCCAAACTTCCTTCGTAATTCCAGCGGGTATTTGACCACGAATTGCATGGCAGTGAAAGTCAAGGAAAGTGAGGAACTGGCACAAGCTACATTTAATCAAGTACAGTAATTAAGTACAATTTTGAGGGACCTGTACTTTATTTCAATGCTCCGCAACTTTGTACTTCTCCTCCACTACAATTCAGAGGTAAATGGTGTACTTTTACTCCACTACATGTGTTTAATACCTTTAGTTACTTTACAGATTTGGATTAATGATGTGAAATATAATCATCAATTCTTAAATCAGACTTTAGTTATACCTGGAGTAAATTCACAAGCTAACCTGCAGTATACAAAGTCATTCAAACTAGCTGCACTGTTCTGTCATTCTAATGCCTGACATCTATTTCCTTGACTGCTATATTCTTAGTGGCCTCTAGGAACAGGCAAGTGCGTTCCTAGTAAAACGTCTGTGTTGGGTTAACGTTCTGCCATTTTGTTTGAGAGCCGCATGGGGAGCAGGTTCCTGACTCTATCTGTCTCCATCCGGTTATTTTCCCCCTTGAAAAGGCATAATCTGTGAGAACATTTGTTTCGGGAAACATTTTGTATAACATTTGCTACTTATATTTTTGCATCTCATGTAACATTTATCTAAATTCAGCATATGTAGTTAAGCCATGTATGTAATTGCTGCATGAGTAGTAATTGTCCCTTATTGGATGTTGGAGTGCATTTGGTTTATTTTTGGGGAAAAGTACATCGTATTTTGTTGTTGTTAGATATTTATACATGTCTTTGTTTGTATCATTTCAGTTTCACACCGCTCCTATTAAAATACCAAACGTCAGCTCCTGTCTCGGTCATTTTTGGGAGAGTGTTTAGCTCGCTGCATAGCCATGCATCTACACGCGTGGTGAGGGCAGAAGAGTGAAAAGATTAACTTCACCTCAAGATCATCCCGTGGACTAGAAACCCTGCATTACTGCTGAGAGCAACGATGTTGAACGTCCCAGATCTCACTGAGCAACACAACATGGAGGTTAGATCACAAAGCAACACTTCTTCATCACAATGCTCCAGTTGGTTGGGTATTAACATGCTGGCAGCAGAGGCACGTGCAAAGGCTGAAGCTGCGCGTACGAAGGCAGCTTATGCAAAATGTCAAGTGGACATGGAAGTAGAGAAAGCACGCATTGATGCTACGCTTCATGCTCTTAAAGAAGAGGGTGAGGCTGAAGCTGCATCAGCAGCAGCAAACGTGCTTGAAGCAGCTGTAGACATTGAATTTAAAGAACATCAAAAGAAATCTAGCCACTTCTCATCGGCTCAACAATCTATGCAACGCACCAGTGAGTACGTCAATGCACATTACAACAATCAACAAACAAGAAAATTACGAAATGGGTCATCAGACAAATCACAAAGAACAGCAAGCAGCTCTTTCTTCACTGCAAGCACGACCTCAACATACAGAGGCCCCCAACATCATCCAGAGCCCTATCACCAGGCTCCTCTGAGCTTATATTAACAAGGGCCCCAGATCCCATTGGCCTCTCAAACCCACATCAACGCTTTGAATCACTCCCCATCACATTACACTAACGCTGCATACAACTACCCTAGAGGCAGTACACCCTCACATGTAACAACACCCAGACCTTCGGAGATTTCGGACCTCGCCACATACTTGGCACGTCGGGACATCGTCTTATCAGGGCTAAAGATGTTTGATAACAAGCCAGAAAATTATCTGTCCTGGAAAGCCGGCTTCTGCAATGCCATAGAGGGCTTGAACTTGAAACCTAGTGAGGAGCTAGACTTGCTCACAAGGTGGCTCGACGGGAAGTCACTGCAGCTCGTTAAAAGACATCGTGCTGTCAACATCAACTATCCTATGACTGGTCTTAACATGGTGTGGCAACGGTTGGATAAGAGTTACGGCTCTCCAGAGGCCATCGAAGCGTCTCTCTTCACAAGGCTTGAAAACTTTCCGAAAATCCTGAACAAGGACTTTCAGCGGCTGCAGGAACTCGCAGATCTGCTCCTCGAAGTCGAAGCTGCTAAATGTGAGGGTTACCTACCAGGCCTCAGCTTCCTTGACACATCTAGAGGTGTTACACCCATTGTGGAGAAACTCCCATATAACCTCCAGGACCAATGGATAATTCAAGGTTCAACATATAAAAAAGAACATCAGGTTCATTACCCACCTTTCTCCTTCTTTGTTAATTTTGTGCAAAGCCATGCGGAGATGAGAAATTATCTTTGCTTTCCAAAACTCCAGCGCTCAACCTCTCAAAAGTGAGCACCCCACAGCAAAGCAGTGGAGGACTCAGAACAGCAATTCAGTCAATAAAACTGAAGTAGGGAACTACTCCTCCCCTGACTCTAAAAACAAGCCTCATGAGGATCCAGACAAGCTATGCCCCATTCACAAAAAACCACACCCCCTCAGAAAGTGTAACAGCTTCAGGGGAATGCTGCTTGATCAACGCAAGAGCTTTCTGAAAGAGCATTTCATATGTAATCAGGGTCTGATTGTGGCCGAAGTAGATCCTCATCTTCTGACGGAGAGTCAGCGAACACCATTTCCACTGCGTCTTCAAGCTTATACAGCCTCTTTCTGGGTGCCATTATTTGCTCGAATAAGTCCTAAAAGCAAATACATCCTTGTCCTTATATTATATTATGTTCTGTTGCCTGCTGTTGTCTCTGTGTTCTCTTTTCGCTGTGTTCATCAGTGTTTTGCTGCTGTGCGGTGGAGGTGCAGCTGTGGTTCCTCTGCTGCGTTATGTGCGTAAAGCTGCCGCTGCTAGCATTATTTATACTACGCAGGATCCTATCTCTGGAACCCATTGGTCGATTTTGGGGGTTGACACCTTTTTTGAAACGTTAGAGCCAATAGAATCGAGGGGGAGTTAGTAAGTCCCGCTAAACACTTACGTCAAGGAGAGAGAGGTTTGCTTAAACAGCACGTGAGACAGCAGTAGCCCGGACTGCAACATTTTATACCTACTCTGCTGCATTGAATGTAATGATGGATTATCAGGAACAATTCTAAAGTGACTAAGAGACATTGGATTAACCTTGAGCAGTGTTTTTATTCCCTTGAACAGCAACTGTAAAACATAATTAGCGTTTTTATTCCCTTGAACAGCAACGGTAAGACATCATTATTGTTATGATTTAGAAAAGTGTTGTTGTTTTCTTGCTCTGTTCTGGCTGCTAGCTCAGTGAGTTTGTGTCATGCAATGATGATACTTATGTCAAAATAATCTGTGGAGTATCAGCTTTCAGAAGATATGTAGTTTGTGCAGAACATATTAAGTTTTAAAGATTATTTGTGCTAGTTAGCACCGGAAGTAACATCAGCCCGTTTTCACTGAGGGCTAATGCTAACGCTTCTTGTGAGACTTGTGTTTTGTTTTGGTAAAAGTGGCTCATATCGTCAGGTAGCTGAGTTTTTTTCCCGTTATTTGAGTATAAGACATTCATAGGTTTTTACATGTTAAGAAGCCCTGAGACACAGTTTCGTGAAAAGAAAAACCGCTGCCCCGGTACCGGGGTCTCTCGGGCTTAACAGGTTAATGCTTAATACTGCTTTACTTCTTTATTATATTAAATAGGTCAAAATGTATATTGCTGGACCTCTTTAGATTTCTTTACCTTCTCCATGCACCTTGGAAGTAGGTTACCCTGTTAAGCGCCATTCCCCCACGGGCGGGCTTCTTAACATTTAAAAACCTATTAATGTGTCATACCCACTTAACGGGAAGAAACGCAGCTATCAGACAATATTAACAATTTTTAGCAAAACGAAACATAAGGGTAATAACAAAGGCTCTGAATTAGCCCTGAGCTAACACACTTAGCACAGAACTCACGCTAAAATACCCTTATTACTCATCATATCTGCAACAAACAAGATATCGATTATCAAGCTGAGATTGCACAGATTCGACAGGTATTAGTATCATTACTGACCGATCCGAACTCACGACTCGAGAAGCGAAGACATCACACCACGTAGCATTAGGTAGCCAACACGGCAATATGTCTTACCTTTGTTGTTTTCTGATCAAAAGTTGTCTTCGATAATCCATCAGCAATAAATCTAGTTTTCAGTTTTCAGATTTCAGAGCGTAAAATAGGTTTCGCTTTGGGCAAACTGTGTTCGCATAGCTCTCATTTCTCAATGGTAACATATATGTGTGTATGTGGAAATTCCCCTTCGATTCTACTGGCTCTAACGGTTCAAAAGAGATGTCAATCATCAAAATTGACCAATGGGTTCCAGAGAAACGGCAAATACACCCATTTCCACCCAAATTACCCCAGAGGTGGGTTTTTCTTTGCTAAACCTCTCTAAAAAGGTCAAATGTCACTTGTTTTGCATCAATCTTGATACAGGGTACTTAATATATGTTATAGTTTGGATTCCCAAAGCTTTTAGTCTATATCCCATAGGGATGTAACCATACCAAAAACTCACGGTACGATAATATCGCGATTAAAAAGTCCACAGTACGATATTTATCGCGATATTGAAAAATAAAGAAAAACGATGTGAATTTTTGTTTTCTTTATTAAATAATAAATCGGATTTGTAAAGCATTTTAGTAGGATAGTAGTATTTTAAAGTGTCAACAATATAATAATCAGACCCTGCAATAGAATAAATCAAGTTTCACTTTAGTTTTTTAAGTAAAAAAAATCGAGACTTTTATTTACCGTGATATCGCGATATTCGATATATCGTTACATCCCTACTATCCCATCATTCAAGGGCGGTTTTTACTATAAGTAATGGTTTATTTTTGGACGGACACTATAATTTACATTTTTTTACTATGCTCAATCTGAATTTACTTTAAAATAAAAAAAATCTATATTGATTCTGACTTTTCTACATCCAACTCACAGGTTTCTCATTGCTTTGAGAAAAAAGATTATTAATGTACCCCTTTTATAAGGGAAGTTATTGTCATTTGTTCTGGGAATGTCATTTTCGAGCCTGAGACCTGAAAAACAGGCTCAGGGCTCAACAGGTTAAGTTGTGCCAGAAAGTTCCATTGTTCTTGTTGGCCAGCAGCCATTCCTTATGACAGGGTGTGGTTCAAATAATGCATTTGCATTTTTGTAGTCACAGACAGCCCTGTACATGTTTACTGTCACACCCTCTGTTCTGTCGTGTTCCCCTCTGCTACATTTCACTGACATTCAGTAACTTCCAAAAGCTTTTGACGGAGAACTCATATTCAAGCAGGCATTGCTGATATTATGTATAAATGCTTACAACATTAGCTGAAACATCTCATTATAATACAACATTGTTGATTCAGAAGAAGTTATCGTGTACATTTTACAAACAAAAAGCCCTCTCGCAAAACATTAATTTTGTGCAGCCAGTGGTTTTTCTCACCTTAACGGCTCATCTGACCAGATTTTGGCTGCTGGCCTTCTTTCCTGGAACATAAGAGGTTTCATGTAATTCTGAACAGAAATGTAACAGCACTTTTTCTTGGCAATACCAGTGAAATTAATACTGCACTTCGCGCTAAAAGTCCTACCTCTTGCGCTGTCTTCACCTGAGTAATCGACAACTCCTTTGCCTGAATGATCAGCCCTTCCATGTGACGTCACTTCCTGTGAAAGCAGGTTTCAAGTTCAGACAAGAACAAACTTGCCTACGCCTTCTTTTAATGTCCTTTATTTTATAGAATAGAAAGATTCATCAGGCATAGAAAGCATTACTCGATTACAACTGAGAACATGACTGCCACAAATACTGATGAAATCAAACTCGTAAAAAAATAAAACAATACAAGCTGAAGTGCCAGCATCAGGAATTACTTCAAAGCAGTTATTTGTAGTCAAGTAGAAAGTCATGGCTCTCACTGAAACTTGGCTGAGACCCAAAGAATATGTCAGCATACATGAAGCCACTCCTCCCAGTTCGTATCAAGTTTAGTCCTTAAAACTGTAATAAGTCATTATTGAAGGTGACTTCAATATTCATGTTGACGATGATATCAATAGCCTAAATACAAGGGTTCGACTTATAAACTGAGCTCTATGGAGGTCTTTAAAACTAACGTGCAAGCACTCAAAAACACACACACACACACACACACACACACACACCCCCACACACACACAGCAGCAGCCCTCTACTTGCTACAAACTTAAATATGAAAAGGTTCAACTCAGCGGCGTACCCACAGCCAATCAGCGCTTCATAGTGCAGAGCCGGGAAGCCCAGAAGGAAGTGCCACAAACTGCAGTTCATCTAGTGGCCGACAGGGGACTGATGCAAAAAGGAGCAATTCCCATAGACCCCCATGTTAAAATGCCCAACTTTACAGCAGAAATAAACATGTTTCTAGCCTGGATCCAATAAAACTTATTCTGGATATAGTTAGATTCCACCTTCATGACAATGGAATAGGGAGTGCATTTTTTTACCGTGAGTTTTTATAGTAAGTAAAGTAACTTTTGCCGTGAGTGAATGAAAGTATTATTTCTTCTTGAGGTCTGCAGTTTAGCGTGTACACATTTGCTGAATATGAAAACACTCAGTGTGTGCCCACTGTGCGACTGTCAAGGATAAACAACCTGTGCCCCCGATATATGTTGTATGTATTATTGCTACACAAACATTACATTGCAGTTTAACGGAGCGTCCACACTACAGCTCCAAAAAAAGCTTGGAGCTGGGCGTGTCTGAAGCTTGGGGATGTTATTCAAGCAACACAACCAACAACCAATCACATGAATCTCCCGCCCCCGACATACAAAGCAAAAACCCCCGGGGATTTTATGCGAGCAATATATATATATATATATAAACTCCCCAAACAGGCGAAAACCTACCAGTTTCACCCACTGTCTCTGCCACCTCCCTCCATGCCTGGTTCCTCCGGTTTGTATCCCGGTAGGTGAAGAGGGTCTGCTCATACAAAACCGGGTGATTGCTACGGCGATAATTAGTTTCTCCTCCATCTTTTTTTGAAATATAGAAATGAACGGCGGGATATCTCTCCCAGCTTAGACGCGGTTTGATTGGCTACGGCTTGAGCTGTCAGATTTTCCGAAACGGGATTTGATTGGCTGGCGCTGGCTACTCCAGCGTCTCCGGCGTCAGAAGTTGAACATTGTTCAACTTCTGTCGCCTCGAAAGTCCCTGCTAGAGAGCAGGGCCGTATCCAGGATTTCCTAAATACCGAGGTCCAACGATGCTAGGGGGGTTCGGGGGATACCCCCCGAGATTTTTGGGATTTTCATGATCTAGTTCTAGGTGCTTTTTAAGTCCTGTGGGGGGTCACACATTGGATAATATATTGATTTCAAACCATGTCAGTGGGCTGACAATGTCAGCATCAATTATTTTTGGAAGTGTAATGCATAAGAATCAGTTGATTGTTACTATTAATGATCTGGACATGGAGAAGAGGCTAAAATGATCATAAAACATTGTCAACATTCATTTTCCATGTCTCTCTCCTTTCCATAACCTGCAGCCTCTCTTCCATCTTCTTGAGTCTCTGTCTTCTTCCTGTTCATTACTCTCTCTGTCCTCTACTCTTTCTCTTTGTTCAATCTCTCCCTCGTTGTTCACTTTTTGCTCCTCCTCACTTGTCGCTCCTGCCAGTGAATTAAAAGCAATTCAGCAATTTAGTTCATTTCACTTGTTTGTTTGCATTCTTTTTTTATTTAAATCTGTTATATTTGATTCCCAAAAGAGAACAAAGATGTAAGCAAATTGTGTTTTATACAATTGTATGTTATTATCATAACCTGCAATATATGTATGTTTTAAAATTATGCCTATTGTAAATGAAGACCAAAGCTGAGCTTCGACTGACGTAGTCTTTTCATTATATCTGAGTCAATGTAAAAAGAAAACAATACAATGTTATATCTTCGATGTTTTACTCAAATTGAAATGAAAGAAAAGCATTACAACGTTTGTTAAAAGATAATCCTTCTGACATTGGATGAATGTAATTAACTGTAGCTCTCTAGCTAGTTTATTCACGCAATTTAAACCAAAGTATAGCCTATAGCTGCAATATAAGTTAGTGTGCATGTTGTCGGACGTCCACTGACTAACGTAGAGCGTTCACACAGGATCTGCTGGTCATATGATGTCCTGATGAGCAGAAACACAAGCAGCCCGCTGGACTCAGATCTCTAGATACTTCATCACTCCTCCGCTGCTCCGGTACAAGTCCGATCTGCGGTGGTTTGTTGATACATGTCGTCTTCTTCTGTTTGCTTTAATCGAGGCTACGTAGTTATGCAGCGCCCCCATGGTCAGTAAATGGAAGTACTACAAAGAACCCCATTTAGTGCAATTATTTCACAAGTATTGTTATATACACAGCTCGAAAAATATTACCGAGGTCCGGACCTCGGTGACCTCAATGGTAGATACGGCCATGCTAGAGAGCAGGGACTTTCGAGCGGCTCTTTTGTGAGAAAAGAGCTACATTTCTGATTGGCTGGAAGGATTGCAAACCACGCCCCGCAAAACTCCCAAAAAGTTTTGTGAAGCCGCCATTTTATTATCCTCGCATTAGCATTATTAGCATTAGCATTAGCCCAGCGCAGAAACGCAGAGAGTCTAACTTATGGCAACACAAAATAAAACATGGGAGTGGTGGAGATGAGGAGGTGCCGGCGTTCTGGCGATTTACTCGGAAGTCCCAGCAGCTTCTACTGAAGCCAGTCCATAACTCCGGGGACTTCCGGCCGGGGACTTTGGGCGGCAGTATACGCCGTGAAGTGGTTTGCGGCCTGCCAGTAAACCCAAAGCCTTAGGGACTTTTTCCAGTGTGAACGTGATCTGTACTTAGTTCATGCGAACTAAAGAGTTCACATGAACTAAGTTCACATGAACCTTTGTGGGAAAAAGTACCGCAGTGTGAATGCGCCTCTTGTCATCGTTGGAAAAGCTCCGTCTCTCCTGCACAATGATCTCATCGGATCCAAATATGGTCATTTGCTTTGTATCAGCAACCAATCGTGAAAGCACAAAAGGGTCTTAAACCAGGAAACGAAATCTCATTGGCTGGTGTCAATTTCTGACAACGTGATTCGTTCAGATGCATCACGTGGTGTGCTAAAACACTTCCTGGTTAGCTTTCCGCTCGAAATGTAAATCTCAAAATGGCAAAATAACGGCGAAAAAAACGTTCACAGAGAAGACAACAACAATTGTCACTTGCACGAAGCAAGGTTATACAAAACACAAATGACCCCGAACATGAAATACCTTCACGGAGTGCGTCGATGCGCACGCTGTCATCCAAAAAACAGAGGGTTTAGCTAGCGCCTCACTGCAATCTTTAAAGGTCGTTTTCTCAAAATGAGTTTTTTCTCCTACTCTGAGTCCGAAATGTCCACTTCAGTTGCACTTACATACACCAAACCTTCCAGTTATATTCCTATCAATATTATGAAGGCTTTTACAGAAGGGTTTGTTCATATATCATTCATAGCCTGAATTATATAAGATTGTATACCTAGAAACATGGCGAAAATTGATATTTTAGGGCTGTTGACAATATTTTCTGATTTATGGAGTGATAAAGAGAGATATCTAAAATCCCTTCGGTGAAAGCCTTAGAATGCTAAAATGAAACGAGAATTTTGAACCTGGCTTTATCCAAAGTTCAGATTTCGGTTCCTGAAATGTGTTAAAATATGCGCAAATGTAATGAGATAATGGATAATTTATATATATATTACTCTAGTTGTAGAGGTGGTGGGCTGAGGAGTAGGTGGTCCACTCTTTTTATTGGGTTGTTTGTTGGAGATACAAATCCAAAATCCTTTTTTGCGCCATTCTAGAAAGTTGTCACTCTGCAGTGTGTGTCGCGTCAATTACGTCACTCTCCCAAGACCTACGACCTAGATGACTCGGATTTTACTTATTTGGAAAATAAATTCTAGCCACCTGATATATACAAATATATACTATGACTATTATATGCTACTGTATACAGCTAATTTTATTTTAAGTAAAATCATAACTATTTTATGTAGTTTAATCATTTTTATTTAGGTGGTCACTCAGTTTTTCAAATGTACACCACTTGCCAACAGGGGGTGCTGCAGCACCCCCAGCACCCCTACTTCCCGCGGCTATGGATGGAGATGCCCATGGTCAGCACGCTCTCTATGGTTCCTCTGTAGAACGTGGTGAGGATGGGAGGGGGGAGCTGTGCAGGAAGTGTAGGCGCTGCTGTGCCTTCTTAAATAGTGATGTAGTGTGAGTGGACCAGGTCAGACTGCTTGTGATATGCACCCCCAGGAACTTGGTGCTGTCTGTAGTCTTCACTGCTGTGCCGTTGATGTGGAGTGGTGGGTGACAGTGCTTTTTGTTCCTGAAGTCGACAATGATCTCTTTTGTTTTATCGACATTCAGGATCAGGTTGTTGGTGTTACACCAGTCTGTCAGATGTTTCACCTCCTCCCTGTAGGCATGTTCGTTGTTGTCCCTGATGAGTCCCACCACTGTTGTATCGTCCGCGTACTTTATGATGTGGTTGGTACTGAACCTGGAGCATAAGCATAAGCGCCATCAATAAAAGTAGTAGTACCGTTAAAGCCTTAACGATACCCATCCCTATGTGGATGTCAGTTTTACACACATTCTGAGGCCGCCGTGCCTATGTTTTTGTTTTCACTGCTAATGTATGCTTATGTTCTATTAGTGCATTAAAAAAATCATTAAAATCATTAATGAAGTTTCAGCTCAGACCCCACGCTTAATATGTCTCCCCTTGGCCCACCTACATTTCTCCAGGCCCACCCACACAATAATTCCTGGCTACGCCACTGGTTCAACTACGCACACCACATAACACATCATCTCGGCTCGCGCAGCACGCTCACAGGCATAGATTGCGCAATAATGTATTGCGCACCTTGGAGGTGAAGTGCAGGCATATTGTCATTTAAGGGAATGCGTAGTTCTTTTGGAACACATGTGTTTCTTTTAGCCTATTTACCTCGTTAACGTAGTAATAATACTCATTACATTGACAAATTGCATTATTTGTAGGGATGTAACGATATATCGAATATGGCGATATCGCGGTAAATAAAAGTCTTAATACCGTCGTGAGACTGACAAAATCTACCGCGATTTTTTTTTTTTTAAACCATTATTCAACCAGATGGTCCCATTGAGATCATCGATCTCTTTTTCAAGGGAGACCTGTCCAACATGGCAGCAAGTAGGTTACAACATGAACATAAAACAACAGATAACACAAAAGGACATCGTATTTACAGGGCTACATGTACACACCTAGTAGGGATGCCAGAAACTGACCATGATCAAATTCGAAAATCGGACAGCCCTGGCGAATATTAATCGATTATTCGCCGCCCCCCTCCCCGCGGGAGAGAACAACGTTTTTTTGTAGCGACCCCATGGGGTCAAAAGGGACGGTGTTGGTTCCTTGGAGTTTTTCGGACTGTGTCACTCGAAAGAATGTTGCAATGAAGGCAACAGTTGGGACATGTTTGGGAGTTGGTTGCAGAGAAGGCAACCCAGAGCATGTTTACTCTAATGAGTGATGGACGGCCTGTTTGTGGATTTTATTTTGTTGTCTAACTTGTGCTGGTTCGCTATTTTGTTGTTGTTGCTGATATAAATAAAGTTTGTTTGGAGCTTAAACAACCGACTAAGCCATGTATCGAAGGGACGAATTGAACCCCGTCACATATGGTGTCAGAAGTGGGATGGCTAGTCGGAGGAAGCTGGGCGGCCTTTGCGGAGCGGCGAACGGGACTACGATCCCGGCGTCAGCAGCAGGAGGAGAGCGCGGCTGCCGGGTCGGAGCGGGCATGGGAGACGAGGATGAGGACGGGTCCTGGGTGGGCCCAGCGGCTCCTGCGGCCTCGGTGTCGGCCAGTGGACCAGGGCGAGAGGGGTTCCTGTTGGCGGAGCTTCGGGACCTACGGACTTCTCTTTCGGTTGGTGATCCGTATCTTCGGTCGGACTCCGATGGCCGGCCTGGTCGGCCGGCGCCTAGGTGGAGGCACTGTGCGGTGCGGAGATTCCACAGTGCCAGTGCGGTGAGGACATGCGAACTGTTTGTTGCGGTTTGGGACGCATTGCCAAAGCGTGGAGGTGGCTGTTTGTCTTTCCAGGTTGCCGCACATCGCCAACCTTGGGGAGGGAGAGGATAATGTGACGGAGCGGGTCACAGAGTGACTGACTCCGTCACTGACAGCCGACACACACACACACACCAAACATTTCCTGCTCTCTTCCCAAATGAACCATGCAATTTCTTATTTATTTTACTTTTGTTTAATTATGGGGAATGATTATGTTAAGAGGGGATTAATCTGTTTTATGTTTGGGTCGGATTTTTATGTTGAAATGTGGTTTTGAGCTAATTGTGTCACCTGTTGACGGTAAGCCTGTGGGAGGGGCTATGGGCTCATAAGGGACGGGTTTTTTTCGGACTGTGTCACTCTGAAGAATGTTGCAGTGAAGGCAACAGCTGGGACGTGTTCGGGGATTTGTTGCAGAGAAGGCAACAGCCAGAACACGTTTACTCTGAATGAGTGATGGACGGCCTGTTTTTGTCTTTTATTTTGTTTGTTTAAGGTATGCTGGTTCGTATATTTTGTGTTGCTGTTAAGAATAACGTTTTTTGGAGCGTAACCCAACCGACTAGGCCAGTGTTTGTGAACGGACAAATAGAGCCCCGTCATATATGGTGTCAGAAGTGGGAAGAGAGCAGGAAATGTTTGGTGTGTGTGTGGTGTGTGTGTGTGTGTCGACTGTCAGTGACGGAGTCAGTCACTCTGTGACCCGCTCCGTCACAATTTGCACTTGTCAGTTCGAAGTAGTTCCACGAGGAACTCTTCTTTGAACGTACCGCTTTGTTCATCTTTAGTTGTGTTGCTCTCACTGTTCTGTATATCGGCAATAAATTAATCGCACGTGTGACGGGGGCGGGGTCGGTGTATAGCTGCGCTGCTGGCTTCCTCCAAGTTTACAGTAAATCAAACTGGTGGTGTGACCAATGGCCATTTACAATTATTAATACTATTACTATTATTGGCATTAGTGTATATTTTGTTTGAAACTAAGCCAGGAAAAAAAAGAAAAACATAAATAATAATAAAAATATATATTTAAAAAATCGAATTACATTTTTTTATTTTCGATTATGGAGACTGTAACGAATATTCGAAAAATCGAATAATCGCTGGCATCCCTAATACCTAGAGACATTGACAAGTACCAACAGTATATTTATACCTCGCCCTGTCAATAAGCCTCACCTTCTTGGCAAAAACTGTATTGTTTTTGAAGTGGTGGAGAGACAATGCACAGTTTGACCCACTGCTATCACCCATGGCCAAAGCATATCTCTCTGTCCCAGCAACATCAGTACCAAGCGAGAGAGTTTTTTCCACAGCAGGGGATATGGTAAACGCCCAAACATCCCAGCTTCTACCGGGAAATGTGGACATGCTCATATTCCTAAAAGATAACCTTGATGATGCTGAGTGAGTGAGTTAGAGTTAAGTTACTTGAAAAACTAAAGTGAAACTTGATTTATTCTATTGCAGGGTCTGATTATTATATTGTTGACACTTTAAAATACTACTATCCTACTAAAATGCTGTACAAATCAGATGTATTATTTAATAAAGAAAAACAAATTAAAGTAAAAAAAAAATTATTATATTCACATTTTTTTCCTTTATTTTTCAATATCGCGATAAATATCGTACCGTGGACTTTTTAATCGCGATATTATCGTACCGTGAGTTTTTGGTATCGTTACATCCCTAATTATTTGGGATTAAAATAATGGTTGTTGGTAATGTATTAGCGACCCCCACAGATGTATGATTTCACTGCGTCCGTGGGAGCTCAAAGCTCAAAATTGGCTCCCAGATAACTCAAACCCTGGGCTTAACTGGACAAGTGACTTTCATTTAGGAGCAGTTGGGTTAAACACGATAACAAAGGGTTTAATACACAAAAAATGTTTGACGAATTATAACGGATGAGTGAGGGGGTACTTATAGAATGGCGACCAGCTCAAGGGGTACACGAGACAAAAAAGGTTGGGAACCACTGCCTTAATGGACACGGTGGTGGTGGGCAGCTACATGGGGATGCTGCGGATATTCTCCCCAAACGTCAACAAGACCAGCGAGGGAGGTCCGGCTGACGCCCTGCTGCTGGAGGTCCAGCTTAAAAACGCAATCATCCAGGTGGAAGTGGGCAAGTTGGTCTCGTAAGCAGACTGAAACTCAGGGAGAAGGCCATCAAAGGGTTAAAATAGATTGCCTTATGGTGGAATATAGGTTAATATAGTGTATATTTAGGTGATGAATGGAGAGAGTCTACTGGTAAAATGTAAGTGAATGATGTGCTTACTATGAGGTGCTCTCCATGGAGGATGGAACATGACATATATATATATAAAAACAACAACAAAATGAGATTATTAAATACGGATAAGGGAACAAATAGTATAATAATTGTTGGTATAAACAAATTACAGATTATAAGGTTAGTTTTTGGTGAATAGTATATTGTAGTATATCTGTAGTGGTATGTTGAAGGTGCTCTTCTGAGAGTATCCTCAAACAACCTTCAAATAGCAGCAACAATGGATCACTGAAGGACAAAAGAGAGCAGGCTGCAGAGAGAGGAAGAGCCTGTGTGTTTCAACCGTCCCAAGTAACGAACATTAAGGTAAGACGGGTTTGCCATCAGGATATCAAACATTATTCACAATTGTAAATGTATTATCTCGGCCTGGGTGTTGTAGTATTTGTTGTTGTCAGTCCCCTCAGGAGAGAAAGCTTCATGTTGTCTCCGTCCATATAGTCAGGTGTCAGCAAACACAACCAGCAACATGTGGTATAAAAGCACAACAAAATAAATTAATCTAAAACTAGATACATTAAAAACATGTGATAATAACAATAATAACATTCAGATCAGAATCAGAATACCTTTATTAGTCCCACAGAGGGGAAATGTACATTGTTACAGCAGAAAAGAGCCACAGACAGCTTAATGTTACCTCAAGCATGCATACAAAAGTATTAAAGATTAAAAAAACTGAAAAACGCAATCATGTGCTTCTTGGTATTGAATATCTTCCTACTCCATGGAAATGTTACTCACTGCAGTTTATTTAGACTAGGTTTATGAAGAAAACGTGTTATTACCGGGAACATGAGTGAAAAATAGTCACGTGAGATTAATTGAGTCGGGGTGATTAACGCAAAAATGTCGTCATTGAAAACTGTTCTTCGTGTTCTCCGTAGCCGTTCTTCTGACTGTTTCCAAAGAGTTGAGGGACAGAAATTGAACCTCATGCAGGATTACGGGGCTGAACGCACTGCCATTTGTTGAGAAGACGATATTCCCTCATGGACCTGGAAGATAAACAGGGAGAATACTCTTGTTATAGAACCAACGATCACTGAAAACAGAGATCTCTTAAAAAAGTTAACAAAAGTTCAATGTGATGTTCAGAGAGATATTTATATATTTATTTAAAATATATAATATGTAACATTTCCTTATTCAAATGTCAAAAAATGATTACCCTATGGTATTTAAACATTATTTGTGAGTTGTGTTCATCCAATACCTGTTCTTTCACACAAGTGAAAAGCTAGCATTAGGCTATAAAGGAACTGCATCACAGTCACATGGTTTAACATCACAGCCAATGAGGAGATGAGTTTCTCCGTGATCAGCGTGATGACGTTATTATGAATTTAGCCACTCGTTAGAACCGCCTGTTTAAAGACACTCTTTGAGCTTTATATTATTTAATAGTTAAACATTTATTTTCTTGCTGTTTTTGTGTATATTGAAGGTATTATTATTTAGTGTCGTTATTGCAGTGAGTTAAAGGCATTTTGAAGGCATGTTTGGGCACTGGGTGTAATTGTATATATTGGAGACAGGTGGTGGAGGGAGTAGAGCACTAGTAGGCTCATGGGCTGCGGTCCAATTGTCCGTTTAGTTTAGGAACCTTCCTAACGGAGTGAAATGACCCGGAAGAACCTCAGTGACCGCCATGATAAGAGCTGTTGGAATTATCTAGATGATAGGAAAGGAGGTTTGAAATGTCCTTTATAACCTCCTTTAGCTTAGGAAACACTGGACCTTCCTTTACGAAAGGAAAGGAGAACATGCTGCCCTAGCGGCCGTAACATTTACCTTGACTCAACATTGTGACGGAGAAATGATATCATGAAAGTTACGGTGCTTATCAAGCATTTTACTTGCCAAAGGGCTTTGTTTTGAACGTCAAACACTATGATAATCAAAAGGAGAAATATGAACGCTACTTTTTTACTGAAATGATCAAATAAAGTCAACATTTCATAGTGTTTACTGAGCTGTGTGGGGTTTTCTTAAACTTTAAACATGTTTTAATGGTGGTACACACAGTGGTAGATGTGAAGGACTAACACTAATATCTGTTCATACATTCATCATAGGTATTGGGATTCACGTGGATTAATACGTGTGGACCGGAGGGGGAGGAGCATAAGTTTCACTTCACTTTTCTATTTCAATTCCAACTTTGGTCATGAAGAATATGTTTCTCTGTTGTCCACGTTCACAAAGCATAAAACAACACCATCAGAGCACGGTGCAGAGTCTCTAGATGCGCTTACAGTAGTCCACCGTTCTTATTATACATCCATGTAGTCCGCTGGATACAAAACTGTAGTTTCCCCACAGACGCACATTTATGACGTCCGCTGGCGCATCATAAACACGTCGATAGTGAAAGTGCAGTCGGATTCTCAAAGCACCGCAGTCTCTTCTCCTAAGTCCTTTTGAATCCTCCTATCCAATATCCCTTAACCCCGTGACGTTCCACACAGAGGTCGAGGAATAGTGGATAGGAATAGTGGATAGGAATAGTGGATAGGAGCAGATTTTTTGATAATTCGACTTCAACCCTAGTTTTTTACCAGGGTGATACAAGCCACAAGGAAAGCCACAAAAAAGGGCTGAAGGAAAGGAATCGATAGGAAAGCTGTTCATTGTACTTTTGTTAATGATATTGGACCATGAAAATAAATGCACAAACGGAGATTCTTGTCTGAACTTGTATCAGTTCGTAAGATTCAATAACTGGTGCCTCAGCTGCAGTGTTATTTTAAGTTCATTATCTGTTTTATTTCTATATGTTTTTTTCCGCTTCAGACACATATAAACCTCAACATTCAGAAGTGTGGTATTTATTGGATATAAGTGTGTCTAACGTTAACATTTTTTAACATTTTGTTAATCACATTATTTCAGACGTCAAACCAAATACACATTTGACTTTAAGACGAAGGAACAGGAAGTGTCATTTCAGGGTTTTAGGATTTGTTCCTGTGGTCGCTCGCTGCCATCAGTGTGTGAGTAAGAAGTACAACATATAAGGCTGCTGTTATTTTGCAGCTTAAAGAATGAAGATATTGAAGTAACTGTTATTTTGTATATATTGATTGTTGTGTTTTATCTTAATGTGTGCATAGGTGTAAATGTGTTGATTGTATATATAGAGGATATACAGATTTATACATATTTGTATTTTGTATTCGGGATTGTTGGAAACGTTATTTCGATCTCTCTGTCTGTACAAACACACAGAAACATTGACATTAAAGTTGACGTTGAAAGAGAAAGTTGATTGGTCTGTTGGTATTTACACAGATTCGATTCAATCACTATATTTCATTTCCCTTTTCAAGGGATACTCTACGCATCCTTTGTTTGTATCAGACCTAAACGCAGTTCTTGAGCAAAACGTTTAAATCTGTTAAACTGTTTTATCTGTTTATTTTAACAATGTGATCGCATGATTCCTTCAGGTATTATTGCAGATCTGCTGTAAGCTAGCTAGCTGACCTTGTCCTTTCAGATATACTGAAAACACTTAACAATATGAAACAGACTCTGCCACCAACAGAGACAGCTTGCCAACTTTATAATGTTGACAAACTGTCATTATACTGTTCTATATCTTTATAATATCCACACTTTTTAGTGTCCGCGTTTCAGTTTTGTTTTAAGCTTCTTGCAGCGTTTCGTTAATGTAGGGCTTTTAGTAAACGCTGCGCATGTTTCCTCAAGTTAGTAAATATTTTCTAAATGCCGTGAATGTGTTGTCAAGTTGGTCAAGATGTTTCTTCATTTGCATGTGTTTTGGAACATTTGTGTTTTTATATTGCATTGTATTTGAAGCTTCAGCTTCTTTCTCCTAATGTAAGTGTTTTGGGCCGTTGTAGCAGGTTAGCCCTGTTAGCCACTCCATGTTAGCCATAAATGGGAGGCACAGGTTTCATCAAGTGATACATATATTACCTATGATTTGATTGCATGTACGAGAGTTTGGATATATCTGGAGATATGGGTTCAATACTCAAATTTCTTCTGTATCTTGGCTTTCATTGGCTAGCCATTGATCCTGCAGAGATGAACACAATCCAACAGTTACAGATCAAGTTAAAAGAAGTGTTTGTTCTTTGAGTTAGTCAGCTTCACAGTCCTGAGTGATCTAATGCTTTACATCACATCATATCTTCTCTGCAAACACTACGACTGACTGTCCACAGCTCTCAGCTGCATCAGAGAATTAACTAGGCATTAGTCCAGGAACTAAAAAACGTCAAAGGAAAAACAAACAGACTACCTTTGTAACTGTAACATCCCATGTGTCTGTTAATGAGTTGCAGCTGAGTGAAATGTGGCTTTGCATTGTCAGCTTGTATTATCTTGCTTGATAATAATGAAAGTAAAGAACCGCGAGATGAACAAAAGGAGGAACTGCAGATAAATGGTAACATCACTGATTTGTTGTGCTAAGCTAGGCTACGCCTGGAAGGTGGAACTGGAGAGATTCCCCAGTGAGAGGAACACATCCACCTCCCTGTGTTTAATACAATCCTGCTGAACCAGCAGAGAGTCGACTCCTTACTGACCCGAGTTTCTCCAGTCTGCAGTCTGGACTCTCCTGAAGATCTCTCAGCAGCTTCACGACTGAATCCTGCAGATCGTTGTTTCTCAGGTTCAGCTCTCTCAGATGGGAAGGGTTGGACTTCAGAGCTGAGGCCAGAGCAGCACAGCTGATCTCTGATAAACTGCAGGCCTCCAGTCTGAATAAAGAACACATGATGCAAGTTTAGAAAACAATGTTCCTTATTGAAATAATGAAAGTTCTAATCATCTGATTATAGCTGGAGAAGTAGAGAATGTAGAAGTTTATAAAGTGGACACTCCCGACAGGTTAAAAACAGTAAGTTCCAGAAAGAGAACATAGCTCTGATTAATATGAAAGACAACGTGCTTCACCTTCAATACAAAGTGGTGACTTCACATCTGAAGCTCTGCTCCTTCTACAATAACTCGTGATGTGCAGCCAGACAGATACAAACCCACAGAAACTGATTCAACTCAAGATCACAGAGTTCACAAAGATCACAAAGATGTCAGGAAGAATTTTAAAGAAATGTGATCAAAATAAATAGAGAATATTTATTTTAGGAATAGTGGAGACATAGATCACAGCATCTTCAGTTTAAACTATTCAGTCAGTTTGAGCATCTTGTAGCTTAATGCAAATGTTAGAAACAGCAACAACTGAAAATATTTGTTAGTGTTTGATAGTTTGAATAGAAATATTTAATTATTGTATTCATGTGTTTATAATGTCATTTATTTTAAAAAAACAGTCAGTATAAGCATCTTTTAGTTTCATAAAAATGTTGGAAGAAGCAAATACTGAATATAGTTTTATGTTTGATTGGAAATACTTATTAATTTTGACTAATTTGTCTTTTATATAATGCAGTAAAATAAAACTTGACGGAGGTTCAGAGTGAAATATGCAGAGTATAATTCTTATTGTAATATTTACATTTAAAGCTGAATATTATTCTGTCAATGAACTAAACCACAGAAGAAGAACATAGACTTCAGCATTAAGATGCTCAGTGAGGATCAGGATCATATCAGCCTGATGTCTGCAGCTCAGAGTCAACACAACTCTCACATATTAATCTCAGCACAGAAGTAAAAGATGGAGAACTGACTCTAGAGTCTCCAGTCTGCAGTCTGGACTCTCCAGAAGATCACTCAGCAGCTTCACTCCTGAATCCTGCAGCTCGTTGTCACTCAGGTCCAGATCTCTCAGATGGGAAGGGTTGGACTTCAGAGCTGAGATCAAAGCAACACAGCTGATCTCTGACAAACTGCAGAACCCCAGTCTGAATAAAGAACACATGATGCAAGTTTAGAAAACAATGTTCCTTATTGAAATAATTAAAGTTCTAATAATCTGATTATAGCTGGAGAAGTAGAGAATGTAGAAGTTTATAAAGTGGACACTCCCGACAGGTTAAAAACAGTAAGTTACAGAAAGAGAACAGAGCTCTGATTAATATTAAAGACAACGTGCTTCACCTTCAATACAAAGTGGTGACTTCACATCTGAAGCTCTGCTCCTTCTACACTAACTCGTGATGTGCAGCCAGACAGATACAAACCCACAGAAACTGATCCAACTCAAGATCACAGAGTTCACAAAGATCACAAAGATGTCAGGAAGAATTTTAAAGAAATGTGATCAAAATAAATAGAGAATATTTATTTTAGGAATAGTGGAGACATAGATCACAGCATCTTCAGTTTAAACTATTCAGTCAGTTTGAGCATCTTGTAGCTTAATGCAAATGTTAGAAACAGCAACAACTGAAAATATTTGTTAGTGTTTGATAGTTTTAATAGAAATATTTAACTATTGTATTCATGTGTTTATAATGTCATTTATTTATAAAAACATGATGGAGAATATAAGATGAATTCAGGTTTTTGAGAGGTTCAGAGTGAATTATGCAGAGTATGATTTGTCTTTAACATTGCTCTGCCACGGTCAATGAACTAAACCACAGAAGAAGAAAATAGACTTCAGCGTTAAGATGCTCAGTGAGGATCAGGATCATATCAGCCTGATGTCTGCAGCTCAGAGTCAACACAACTCTCACATATTAATCTCAGCACAGAAGTAAAAGATGGAGAACTGACCTGAGAGTCTCCAGTCTGCAGTCTGGACTCTCCAGAAGATCACTCAGCAGCTTCCCTCCTGAATCCTGCAGCTCGTTGCCACTCAGGTCCAGATCTCTCAGATGGGAAGGGTTGGACTTCAGAGCTGAGATCAGAGCAGCACAGCTGATCTCTGACAACCTGCAGTACCCCAGTCTGAATAAAGAACACATGATGCAAGTTTAGAAAACATTGTTCCTTATTGAAATAATTAAAGTTCTAATAATCTGATTATAGCTGGAGAAGTAGAGAATGTAGAAGTTTATAAAGTGGACACTCCCGACAGGTTAAAAACAGTAAGTTACAGAAAGAGAACATAGCTCTGATTAATATGAAAGACAACGTGCTTCACCTTCAATACAAAGTGGTGACTTCACATCTGAAGCTCTGCTCCTTCTACACTAACTCGTGATGTGCAGCCAGACAGATACAAACCCACAGAAACTGATTCAACCCAAGATCACAGAGTTCACAAAGATCACAAAGATGTCAGGAAGAATTTTAAAGAAATGTGATCAAAATAAATAGAGAATATTTATTTTAGGAATAGTGGAGACATAGATCACAGCATCTTCAGTTTAAACTATTCAGTCAGTTTGAGCATCTTGTAGCTTAATGCAAATGTTAGAAACAGCAACAACTGAAAATATTTGTTAGTGTTTGATAGTTTTAATAGAAATATTTAACTATTGTATTCATGTGTTTATAATGTCATTTATTTTAAAAAACATGATGGAGAATATAAGATGAATGTCAGGTGTTTGAGAGGTTCAGAGTGAATTATGCAGAGTATGATTTTTCTATAACATTGCTCTGCCACGGTCAATGAACTAAACCACAGAAGAAGAAAATAGACTTCAGCATTAAGATGCTCAGTGAGGATCAGGATCATATCAGCCTGATGTCTGCAGCTCAGAGTCAACACAACTCTCACATATTAATCTCAGCACAGAAGTAAAAGATGGAGAACTGACTTGAGAGTCTCCAGTCTGCAGTCTGGACTCTCCAGAAGATCACTCAGCAGCTTCACTCCTGAATCCTGCAGATCGCTGTAACTCAGGTCCAGATCTCTCAGATGGGAAGGGTTGGACTTCAGAGCTGAGATCAGAGCAGCACAGCTGATCTCTGACAACCTGCAGTACCCCAGTCTGAATAAAGAACACATGATGCATGTTTAGAAAACATTGTTCCTTATTGAAATAATGAAAGTTCTAATAATCTGATTATAGCTGGAGAAGTAGAGAATGTAGAAGTTTATAAAGTGGACACTCCCGACAGGTTAAAAACAGTAAGTTACAGAAAGAGAACATAGCTCTGATTAATATTAAAGACAACGTGCTTCACCTTCAATACAAAGTGGTGACTTCACATCTGAAGCTCTGCTCCTTCTACACTAACTCGTGATGTGCAGCCAGACAGATACAAACCCACAGAAACTGATCCAACTCAAGATCACAGAGTTCACAAAGATCAGAGTCTGAATAAATAACACACAATGTAAGTTCAGAGAACAATGGTCCTGCTTGAGGTAGTTCAAAGTTTCATCATCTGTTCAGACCTGGAGAGGGTTCAGAGGTCGATGTCAGAAATGATGTAGATACTTTTCTAAATGTAATCTATAAAAGTATCTGTAATAATGCATCAGAACATCCTCCTTCATCTCCCTCACAGCTCATCAGTGCTGACAGCATCTTCACTGAGTCATGGAGCACAGTGAGAGTCTGTGGAAGCTCAAACACTGTCCGTCACACATCTACTTTCTCTGCTTTCTGTTAGTCTTGTAAAATATTCAGCAATTTAGAAAGAAATGTGAACTTATTAAAATATCTTTGTACTCAGGCAAATTATGGAATTATAAATATATCAATTATAAATACTTTACAAAACCACATGAACTGCAGCCAGTGATCTGACCTCAGAGCCTTCAGTCTACAGTTTGGACTCTTCAGTCCAGAACTCAGCTGCTCCGCCGCCTCTGAATCCTGCAGACCGACTCTCATCTCCAGCTCTCTCAGATTGGAGGCCACGACTTCCCAGTCTAAGAATCCACTGTCAGGAATTCTGTTATAACACATATTACAGAATTAGTTTATATAAAAAAAGTGGAAACAATATATTGACTTCAAAACATGTTGAATATCATGATCTGATTACCACTGGATGGTTGAGTGTGATCTGATCCCATGTCTGTCACCTCTTTGCTAGCTACCTTCTAGACTAGAGTCAACATAAATCAGATATTACTCTGTGTCTAATTTAACGATAAAGAAACTGCAATCATTTCATAATAACTTTACTCCATTTTATGACATATGTACAATTATTCTGGATGTTGTGATCACATGTTGCTGTGATAAAACATCCTTCATATGTTTTTGACAAGGAAAATGAAGAGAAGAAAAAACTGTACCATTTTGAAATTATTAGAATAATTGTTTTAATTCAATTTTGCTCTCACAGAATGTGAAACAGCTAAAAGTTGAATAGTGTTTATTTGAAAAAACTGAAATCCTTATCTTCACTAATCTATAAAGTTAATCACATCTGGACTCAACACAGCCTTCCCTGCAGTTCCTCTCAGCTGGAATCAGTCTCCGTCGTCCCTCCTGTGATGTTTTGTACTTCTCCAACTCATCCAGAACCTCATCTGACATCTCCAGCCTGTAGGCAGAGCTGAGCAGTGTTCACACAAAGAGTCTCTTCTCTGATCTGTTCTCTGACGTCAGGAACTCTGTGATCTCCTGAAGTACCGAGTGGTCGTTCATCTCTGTCAGACAGTGGAAGATGTTGAGGCTCCTCTCGGGAGAGACTTCATCACTTCTCATCTCCTTCAGGTTGCTGATGGCTCTCTGGATGATTGCTGGACGTTTGTCTGTGCGACCCAGCAGGCCTCCTAAGAGTCTCTGGTTGGACTCCAGAGAGAGGCCGTGGAGGAAGCGGACAAACAGGTCCAGGTGGCCATTTCTACTTTTGAGTGATTTCATCATGGCGCTCTTCAGGAAGACATCCAGGGATGGGTAATCCTGATCACTGCTAAACATGTTGTTATAGTCTCCCTGCAGGAAGTCCTTCAGTACCTCTGTGTCTCTGTTGGTGTAACAGTGCAGCATGTAGACCTGCAGCCAGAAACTCCTGAATGCTCAGATGAACAAAGCAGTAGACAGTTTTCTTGAAGATCACACTCTCTCTTTTGAAGATCTCTGTACAAACTCCTGAGTGCACCAAGGCCTCTGTGACGTCAAGACCACAGCGCTCCAGGTCTTCTTGGTAGAACATGATGTCCCCTTTCTCCAGATGTTCAAACGCCAGCCTCCCCAGCTTCAGAAGAAGCTCCCTGTCAGCCTCCGTCAGCTGCTGTGGACTGCTCTCATGTCCCTCTTCATACTTCTGCTTCTTCCTCTTGGTCTGGACCAGCAGGAAGTGTGAGTACATGTCAGTGAGGGTCTTGGGCAGCTCTCCTCTCTGGTCTGTAGTCAACATGCGGTCCAGAACTGCAGCAGTGATCCAGCAGAAGACTGGGATCTGACACATGATGTGGAGGCTCCTGGAGCTCTTGATGTGAGAGATGATTCTGCTGGACCATTCTTCATCACTCGATCTCCTCCTGAAGTACACCTCCTTCTGGACGTCAGTGAAGCCTCGTACTTCTGTTACCCTGTCCACACACTCAGAAGGGATCTGATTGGCCGCTGCAGGTCTGGAAGTTATCCAGACGAGAGCCGAGGGAAGCAGCTTCCCCCTGATGAGGTTTGTCAGCAGCACGTCGACTGAGGACTGTTGAGAGACATCAGACACAACCTCATTGTTTTTGAAGTCCAGAGAAAGTCTGCTTTCATCCAGGCCGTCAAAGATGAACAGCACTTTGCAGACAGCCAGCTGCTCTGCTGTGACCTCATGTAAGGTTGGATGGAAATCATGGAGCAGTCTGAGAAGACTGTACTGCTCACCTTTGATCAGGTTCAGCTCCCTGAAGGAGAGCGGGATCACCAGACTGACATCTTGGTTTCCCAAACCCTCCGGCCCAGTCCAGAGTGAACTTCTGCACTGAGAAGGTTTTTCCAACTCCAGCGACTCCGTTGGTCAGGACCGCTCTGATGTGAGTCTGTTGGTCAGGTGAGGCTTTAAAGATGTCCTGGCACTTGATTGGAGTGTAATGGAGGGTATTTGTCTTGTAAGCTGCCTCAAGCTGCCTCACCTCATGTTGGGTGTTAACCTCTTTACTCTGTCCTTGTGTGATGTAGAGCTCAGTGAAGATCCTGTTGAGGCTGGTTTCACTTTTATCAGTTCCTTCAGTCACTTGTTCACATCTCCCCTTCAGACTGAGCCTATGTTCATCTAAAACCTCCTGCAGACCACGTTCTGCTGAAAGAAAAGGAAACGTGAGAATAATGAACATTTTGTAAATGAACTTATATTATGTACAACACAACAGGAAGAATCCTGTTTTCAGGCATGAAGACACCAGGAGACAGAGGTCAAGACTTACTTTGTACTGTTCTGGTCTGACTGGCTGTCTGCAGTCCAGCTCTGGTTCTGGATCTTTTCCCACACTGGGGACATGAGGAGTCTCCTGATGGAGGTTGTTGCTCCCAGTATGAGGTGATGCACTGTCTGCAGAACCAGTGTCCACAGCTGGTAGAGACTGGATCCTTCAGGACGTCCTGACACAGAGCACAGCTGGACAGCTGCTCCTCCACAGGAACATGACTTTTCCTCTTCCCTCTGTGGAGATGAACACATCCTTTAGAGCACATTACGGTGACTGATTGTTTAAGTTCTTTATCTGTAGATGATATTTCATCCTGATAACTGTTCCCCAAGTGGTAGATATTTAGTTATTCATATCATTATGAAAGAAAACGCCCTTCTGTCTGTAACATCATCCGCCTACAGCATGTTCACTGTACCTCACAAGTTGTACTACGGCTAAATTAAACTGGTTTATGTAATAACTCCATAATGATTCCAATTTGTAAAAGCAGTTAACACTTTGTCAGGTCTGTCCACATGGAAAGCAAATCACTTTGAAAATGCTAGTTAATGAATGGGGATTAGATTGAGTGGAGTGAGACTTAGCTAACATTGTGGCTGCTCCATTAATAGTCAAACTAACAATCAATGGTTGATACACACATGTTTAACTTAAATTCAATATGAAGTACTGTAGAACTCTAGGTGCCGATATTCTATACTGAGCTCTGCTGAATTTCTATACTATGGGCTACTGCACTCATGTAATTATTAAAGAAAAGTGTAAAATGATCAGATGGCCTATATATAGATGTATACAGTATATATATATATATATATATATATATATATATATATATATATATATATATGTTTGTCAGGTCAGTTCACAGTAGAAACAGACTCTTACTTTGTGTCTGGGGGTCCAGGTTCATTACTGAAGTATATAAGTTCATCTTTGGACCAGTCACTCTTCATAGACAGACAGCTGGAGAATGGAGACTCTTCTCCCCGTCTGTGGAAACAACAAATGTTTAAAACACATCAATAGTTCTTGTAAAAAGCAGCGTTTGATTTCAGTTTTGATTTTCTTTCCCCTTTTAAAGATTTTCGTTTTTACTCTAAACTTTATGTCTTAACAATTGGGTTTTTGGGTTTCTGTTGTTGCAATTCTTTGAGAGTGAAAAGTTCTACATGTTCCAAGTGAATTTACTTAACCAAACACAAAGTCCTACATGTCGAGTGTGAGAATGATTTCACTGTTGCAGTTTATTTACTACCGCTGATGATGCCAAGGAGAACAGCGTCACAGGCGTGCAAAGTGTGGACCCAAAAGCACAGATGCAGACACAGCTTTGAAGCACAAAAGAGTCTTTACTTGAGTTACTGATAAAAGATACAATAATGCTATGATTCCAAAAACACAGGATCAGCAGATCCAGAAAAGACATACAATAAATATCTACCTGAAGCTTACCGATCAATAACTAGAAAAATACTTAATAACTACTACCTGATCTTACCTTACTATAACTATGAACGTGGACTATGACTATTACTTTAACTGGACCATGATTTACGAAAACGCTGGAGAGCTCGGCACAACACACAAGACACTCTGGCAACGAGACGGTGAATAGCTGGGCCTACATATACTGACATCACCTGGTGCAGACAATAATGACCTGACAAACAATCACCAGGGTGGGAAACAGAGGAAGACAGACTATCAAATAAAACCCCGGAACTAAACTAAACATATAACATGAACGTGACTAAGACTGAAACTTGACAAACATTTAACAAAGTTGACGACGCACAACAAACAGCAAGATTCAATCAAACTTCTACAGTGTACTTTAATGCGTTTCATTACTGTAATCTACTACGATTATTACAGCACTGTGTTTCTCTACCGTAACTGTAATACTCTGACAGAATATGTGGATAAGCAATGCTTTTTATGATTGGTCCACGTGATGTCATAGTAACAATATGCGTCATCAGCCAGACAGACAGTCAGACATTCAAACAATGTGTGAAGTTCACCTTCCTTCAAGACATAAGCCTGTTTGTCTGGTTTATTAATACATACTGAGTATTGGCACGTTGTCGTCTGGAGTATTAATTGTACACATAGTACAAGAACAAGACAGTTACCTACTGTGTGCGCTTTACAGTGTTTCATTACTGAACTCTACTGTAGAAGTTTACTGTATTCTACTGTACTGTAATCTACTTCACTCGTATAATTATAAAACTATATTTTAAATTGTCAGATAGCATTCAAACTAAATCCTCTTCAGGTCTGATCACAGGAGAAACAGACTCTTAGGTCGCGTTCACGCCAGCCTGGTTTTGTCCGGTTGAATCGAACCCTGGTGCGTTTAACCCCCTTGGTGTGCGGTTTGTTTGGTCGGTGTGAACACAGTCCGAGACCTCTGATGTGAACTAAACAAACGGACTCTGGTCCACTAAAACAGGCGGTCTCGGAGCGCTTGCTCGTGAACTCTGGAGCGGTTCATCGCTGGTGTGAACGCAGTCCGCACCAAAACACAGGAAGCGTAGTATTTACGAGTCACAAGAACGCAGATGTCTTCAAAATCTTTAGTGAAAGGTGAAGCAGAATGAAATGTTGAACGGTGTCGTGTAAAGCAAAAATGCTCCGTCAACTATACATATTTTTTTAACGCACGTCGTCTGATTGTATAATCATATGCGCCGTCCGCTAGAGTCAGTTGATATGCTCTCCAGATCAGATAGATAGATAGATAGATAGATGGATGGATGGGATGGATAGATGATAGATAGATAGAT